CTTGAACTTCCTACACATTGTTTGAAATCAAGTTTTTTTTTTTTTTTTTTTTTCAGGGAGAGCTTCAGAACTTTCTTTCTCCATTGCCTGCTTCTCCGTAGGCAGAATCTCTGGGCCACAGGTCTGGAGCTGAGGGCAGGGACAATGGTGCCCATCTCTCTGGGTGACACTGCTGCATTAGGGTGGGGACGGTAGCTTCTGGCCTTCTCTGCTTGCCCTTCCCATGGGGGAATTTCCTTTCTGTGAATGAGCCTGGGCTGGAGCGATCAGGCCTCAGTGTTCCCTGCCCTCTGGCTCTAGCTGGAGCTTTTGCCCTGTGGCGGGGACTGATGGAAGAGGGAGCCCCCAGCCTCTCTGCTGCACCTGCCTGGACCTTAGCATCTGTAACACGGAGCTGGAAGTGGAGCCCCACTAAAGGAGTTTTAGCCCTGCAGCAGGGAGAAGAAAGTCAGAAAAGAAACTTGGTTTCAGACCTTTGTTTTTACTTTTGAATTAGAGATAAGGGCTGGTGGGCCTGTGTTAATATTTCCACTTTCCATTTTTGGAAGAAGGTGCATATTTTAAGGCCAAACAGCTGGTTGTGATGTGGCAGGGATACACATTCAGGCAGTCCAGCTCCAGAACCTGCCTCAGCTTAACCTCTGCTGGACTGTGGAAGTCTCTAGGACATGGCCGTGGGTTTTTCAGTTCATGCTTCTACGACCTCCAGGGTACAGACGACTCTGTCCAGGCCTATGTATATCTGTCCCCTGCCTTCTCCCAGCAGGTGCTCGTCCCTGTGGCCTCCATGTGTAAAGCAGAACGTGTGAGCAGAGTGGACGTGGCTGTCTTCCGAGGCCTCTTTGGGGCCACAGAACCAGGCACTGTTTGAGTGGACACACTGCTCCGTGCTGTGCACCTCAGGACCTCCTGCGCTGGTCATGCCTGTGCCCACAGAGGGCACCCCTCCACCCCTGAGTGGTACCCCTGTCCCAGTGCCAGCCTACTTCCGTCACGCAGAACCTGGCTTCTCCCTCAAGAGGCCTGGGGGGCTCAGTCGGAGCCTCCCGCCCCGGCCCCCTGCCAAAGGAAGCATCCCCATCAGCCGCCTCTTTCCTCCCCGGACCCCAGGCTGGCACCAGCCCCAGCCCCGGAGGGTGTCATTTCGAGGCAAAGCCTCTGAGACCCTACAGAGCCCCTCATATGACCCAAGCCGGCCAGAGTCCTTTTTCCAACAGAGCTTCCAGAGGCTTGGCCGCCTGGGCCATGGCTCTTATGGAGAGGTTTTCAAGGTGAGTGGGGTGACGACTCCTTGGGCTTGCTGGGGGATGCCCCCTGCCCCGCCTCCCGCCCCTGCCTGGATGGGACTGTCCTGGGCAGCCTGCTTCTCACGGGTTGACATGCTCCGTTCCTCAGTGCGTGATTCGACTGCTTTCGCCTTCCCCTCCCACAGGCCTCTCAATACACACTCACCCCTTGTCCACAGCCTGGCACGCCTTACAGACTCCTGGCTGCTTTCTCTCCTGCCCTGGAGCCAGCCCTGTCTGTAGGGCACACGCTTCCCCACCCCTTAGGCCGGCAGGCACTCAGGCTACCCCCTCCATGCCACTTTTTTTTTTTCTTAAAATATATTTCTAGTCATTTATATTTAAAATGGTGATTCTGCTTACACAAGTACTACATGGAGATAGTTTTGTGGTTAAAAAGTACAAACAACATAGGTCTGTAGACCAGTTCTTCCCAGAGGAAACTACTGTGCTTCTCAGGTGGGTGTCCCTCCTTCCAGACCCTTCTCTGTACATCTCCAGAGTTGACCATATAGAGACAAACTCATCTTCAACACAGCGGATCATACTGCCCACATGGTTCTGTAGCCAGCTTTCTTCATATAACTGCGTGCCACGGACACGCTTCTAGGCCAATGCTTAGAGCTCATAGTGGTTTATCCACTTATGCAATTGTGTGCGCGTGGGTCTCTCTAAGGTAGATGCCATGCTGCAACTTCCACACTTGTAAATTCTTAATAGAACCTGCCAGATAGTCATTCTAAGTGGTCATGCCACCTCCCATCCCACCTGTGGGCGCCGCCTCCCTTCCAGGTGCGCTCCAAGGAAGATGGCCGGCTCTATGCAATAAAGCGCTCGATGTCACCGTTCCGGGGCCCCAAGGACCGGGCCCGCAAGCTGGCCGAGGTCGGCGGCCACGAGAAGGTGGGGCAGCACCCGCGCTGTGTGCGGCTGGAGCAAGCCTGGGAGGAGGGCGGCATCCTGTACCTGCAGACCGAGCTGTGCGGGCCCAGCCTGCAGCAGCACTGTGAGGCCTGGGGCACTGGCCTGCCAGAGGCCCAGGTCTGGGGCTACCTGCGAGATACCCTGCTGGCCCTGGCTCACCTCCATGGCCAAGGTCTGGTCCACCTTGACGTCAAGCCTGCCAACATCTTCCTGGGGCCCCGGGGCCGTTGCAAGCTGGGTGACTTTGGGCTGCTGGTTGAGCTGGGTACGTCTGGAGCTGGTGAGGCCCAGGAGGGAGACCCCCGTTACATGGCCCCGGAGCTGCTGCAGGGCTCCTACGGGACAGCAGCTGACGTGTTCAGGTGAGGGCTGGGAGGGGGGTGGTGCCGAGGGTGGTGGCTGCAGTTGCCCAAGGGAGGGAAGCGCCACCCTAGCCCAAAGTCAGGAACCCTGGCCTCAGGCTGAACATCCTGCCCCAAAGGGGTGGAGGCCTGCCCTGAGGCTGAGGGGGTTCTGCAGTCAGGCTGTCTAAGCAGCAAACCCTCTGGAGCCACTTTACATGGATCTACCCACTTCCTCACTGCACCTCCACAGGAGGGATGATTACTGCATTTACAGGGACTGGACCTGGTACTGGGCTCCCTTGTCCCTGCCAGTAACGCTGTTCGGCCTTTAGCAGCCATATCCAGCTTTAACAACAGAATGGGGACAGGAACATGAGCAGCCCCAGTGCCTGTCCAGTGAGCGGTGCAGGATGGCTCACTGGCTGGTGGGCAGCCTGTGCTGTGTGTGGGCTCCATGCCCCACACCGTGGTCCCACCATTGGACCTCCTGGGGCCTTCTCAGGACCCCTCACCGCTCCCTCCCCACTTCCCTGGCTCGTGGTGGAAGACAGCAGCCCTTCTGGAGTCCGGGTCCCAAGGCCAACCTTGCCTCTTCTGTCCCTGCTCCCGTCCTTCCCAGTCTGGGTCTCACCGTCCTGGAAGTGGCATGCAACATGGAGCTGCCCCACGGTGGGGAGGGGTGGCAGCAGCTTCGCCAGGGCTATCTGCCCCCTGAGTTCACTGCTGGTAAGTGGAGGGTGGGGATGGACAGGAATGTGCTGCCCCCACAGGGGGGTCGTGGGGGATGGCATGGCTGGTGGTGGGGACCACTGGGCTCCAGGCCCAGTCACCCCTGACACAGCCCTGCCCTGTGGACAGGCCTATCTTCCGAGCTGCGTTCTGTCCTCACCATGATGCTGGAACCTGACCCCAAGCTGCGGGCCACCGCTGAGGCCCTGCTGGCTCTGCCCATGCTCAGGCCTCAGCCATGGAGCATTCTGTGGTACGTGGCTGCCGATGCCCTCAGCCGAGGGTGGGCCCTGTGGCAGGTAAGTCAGGCGATGGTGGCAGGATGCCCCACCCTGCTCCCCAGTGCCAGGGTCTGACCTGCCTCCACCATCCCTGTCCCCACAGGCCCTGCTTTCCTTGCTGTGCTGGCTCTGGCACGGATTGGCTCACCCCACCAGCTGGCTGCAGCCGCCGAGCCCACCAGCCACCCCGCCTGGCTCCCCACCCTGCAGCCTCCTCCTGGACAGCAGCCTCTCCAGCAGCTGGGATGATGACAGCATAGGGTGGGTGAGAGCTGAGGGTGCTGGGGGCGGGGGATAGGGGTGGTCAACAGCGCCAGGTCCCAGACCCAGGAGGATTAGCAGGGAGAGACCCCTCCCATAAACCTGGCCCCCATCATGCCCTGGGAAGGGAATCGAGGCCAGTGGGGGTGCAGCCTGCCCTGTTTGAATGCAGCTGTCCTTTTCAAGCCCAGAGCAGGGAGCAGGGTGGGGGCCATAGCTCCCATGACAGCAGGGGCTGCCGGTGCCCACAGATGAGGTACTGTCCTCTCACAGCCTGGGGAGCTGCGCCCTGGGAAACTCCTCAGTTCTAGGTACCTGGTGGCCAGAGGAGAGGCTGTCATTAAGGAACTGTTACAAAAGAAAATCACAGGCTTGGGCACCAGCCTCAGGAGGAACCATACCATTAACCCCTTCTTTAAGGAAATGTCACCCCTTTGCCATGGGGACACTTTATATCGACATGAAGTACCAGCTAAGCTTCATTTGCCACAAGGTCACTTCAAAGCCAGCTGTCCAAACCCATGTGTTCCGAAACGGAACAGAGGTGGCCTTTCAAAGTTGTGAAAGTGCTTTTCTCAAGGGGCACCTCGTTTCCGCTGGTTCCTGACAGTGGCCCTGCCCCTGTCCATGGCAGGAGAAGCCTGGCGCTGGCTCCCTGCCCTGCCCAGCTGTGGCGGCCTCCGGGTGCACTCCCCACCCCTCGACACTTTACTTGTCTGGCTACCCGGTGCAGGCTCTCACTCTCTGCAGAGGCTGTCCTGGCCAGGGCTACTGGGAACACCTCCACCCCCCGCAGTGGCTCCCCCGCCCCCCGGAACAGGTACACACTGAGGTGAGCAGGCCCTGAGTCCAGGGGGTGGGAGGTGGTGGCTCTCAGTCTCTGAGTGTCATCTGTCTCTCTTCCCTCCCACCCAGGGATGCCCTGGACCTGAGTGACATTGACTCCGAGCCCCCTCGGGGCTCCTTCCCCTCCTTCGAACCTCGGAACCTTCTCAGCCTGTTTGAGGACTCACTGGGCCCAGGCTGAGTCCACAAGCCAGCCTTGGCGCTTTTAACCTTTTAGCCACCCCCCCCAATCCTCCTGGAGGTGGGGTTCCCTCTGGGAACTCCACTGGTGCCTCCTGCCTACCCATGTCTAATAAAATGTATTTGAATCTTGGAGCACCCAAGCTTGCTTGTGTGGCAACACAGCACTTCCTACCCTTTATTGATGTTGCCGGGGGTTTGTGGCCCCGAGGCTGAGCCCTGATACAGGGCCCCAGGCCAGCTGACTGGAGGTAGGATCCAGGCGCTGTGTGGAGCAGAGATTTCCTGAGCAGGCACGTCCCCACTGTGTAGGTCAAGCCATCAGAGCATGGCACTCAAGGTGGAGGGAGGGCCCTCAGCCCAGTGGCCACTCAGTGCTTCATGTCTCTGTTCTTGCTGCCTGGAAAAAGCAGCTGCAGCCGCCCTCCTACCCCTTGGTCCTGGGATAAGAGACTAGTCCTGTTGCCCAAACCCCTCACTCCACAGTCTCTGGACGAAGGGAGAAGGGGTGGGTGAGCCTCAGGCTGCAGGGAGGGCTGGCACTCAGACCAGAAAGGTCAGGAAATATGGGCTGAAGGCTGGGCAAGGCAGCCATGAGGTACTTTACATGTGGGGCAGGGTGTTGGGCTCACGGCTCTGGGCTGATAGCATCCCAACTGTCAGAGCCAGACGTGACCCCAGAGTCCCTCTGGCCACACCCTCACAGGTCACAGAGGAGGATAAACGGAGGCCTAGGAAGGAAGGTTTCCGTCTAGCCCACACAGACAGTACCCGGAAAGAAGGCAGGGAGGGAAGCCAGAGCTCCGAGACGTGCGTAGAAGAGGCTAGTCCACAGGGAAAATCAGATGAACGGGTAACGGCTGCCAGCTGGGAAGTCCAATTTGCTGGAAGCATCCAGGGAGTCAGCCCCTCGCAGACCAGCAGGAGTGAAGCGCGATCGTCGGTCCCAGGTAACTGCAGAGAGGCCGACGTGGCAGGCAGGAGGTGGCTCAGTCTGGGGGGCAGGTGTGGTGGGCGGCCCAGAGCAGGTCTGGCACGACGCCGGCGTGCAGCTGGAGGATGGAGCCCACGCTGAGCAGGTGCATGATCTGGTGGGAGTTGCCCCAGTAGTCGAAGCGGCCAGGTCCCCAGCGCTCTGGCAGGCGGGCCACATTCACCAGTCCCCCAAGGAGTGCCAGCGCATCCATGCGCAGGTAGCAGCGCAGGGAGCCCGGGGCGCCGGAGCCCAGCCCCACTCCCCGGGCCCCGAACACCAGGAGGCGGGCAGCAGCCTGCCAACCAAAGGCACGGAGCCGGGCACTGGTGGAGGGGGCAGTGAGGGCCCGCCAGCCAGCCACGCCAGACAGCACGGTGTAGCCCACCAGGGCAGCCGGACGCAGCCAGGGCCTACAGGCCAGGGTGCAGTGGATGATGGGCAGCGCCCCTGTATGGAGAGAGGCGGGAGGCACGTCACCCGGGAACTGCCTGCCCTCTACTTCGGGGGCTCGTTTGAGTGACCCTCCCTCCACCTCCCTGGCGGCCACCCACCTCCCATCCTTCAGGCCGCCCCGTCACGTGGCTCACCAAGGGTGTTGACAAGGCAGACGCCACACATGTCCAGGGCGAGGAGGCGGGTATACACGGCGCTGCCCCCTTGGTGGCACATGAAGAGATGGTACAGCACAGAGCCCGCAGGAGGGGCCAGGCAGGCCACACAGTGTGTCCCGCCCAGCCAGCCGTCCTGGCCCAGCTGGCCCCACGGCATGGTCATGGGCAGCAGCACCAGGAAGCCTAGCAAGGCCAGCCCTGGGGGAGGGAGACAATTATCCATCACGCGGCTTGAGCGCTGAGGACAAGCCATGTCCTCAGGGAGCCCACAGTCTAGAGATGATACAGAAGGGAGGAGGCAAGGTGGGTCTTGACGATGCTCTTAGCACGCTCGTGGCTGGGCCCCCAGCAGGGGCAGGCCCTGTGCCTTCAGTAACTTCAGTGACTTAGCAGAGCTCCCAAGAGTTTCTGGAGGTAGAGACCGTTGTCCACACATTCAGTTGAAGAACCCAAGCCAGTGCCCCAGGTGACCCCAGCAATGAAAGCAGAATAGAACCCGGCAGTCTTATCTCCTCCCTGCAGCACATTACCTCCCCAGAACACAGGGGGGCCCCAATCCCCCAAACTTGGTGTGTCAGCAGAAGCCAGAAGGAGGCATGATCTCATGCTGAATTTTATATAGGATATGTGGGCAATGATACTAGATCTGCGGGTCACTTAGCTTGCTTCTCTCAACCCCTGTGTCCTCTCTGTAAGTGACCAGACGCAGGGAGGCTTTGGGTCTTTCTGTCTTCCAGAAAGGGCAGACTCAGGCAGGGGAGACTGGCTGCAGGAGCTCGTTTCCTACTTCCCCAGGGAGCTTTTCCTGCCCTCCATTCCTCTCAGCCCCAGCCAGGCCCTTCCCACCCCTGGGCGCTCCGGCACTGCCCTCCCAGGGGTCAAAGACAGGCACAGCCGACTAGGCTGCTGGCTGCACATGGGCAAGGTCTGGCCAGGCCCCAGTCGGCCGGCGAGCCAGGTACCAAGGTTAGGCCCAGCGGGCTCAGGCCCCTCTCCTGGCCGGTACAGCCCAAAGAGTGGTAGGGCTGTGTCAGCAGATAAGGGCCGCGGAGGTGGGGAGGAGGGGCCGCCGCTAGGCGGAGCCCCGCGGCCGGGCGGAGGAGGGTGGCAAGACCGCAGCCCCGGGAGGGGCTGGGGCCTGGCTTCTTTCCTGGGTCCCGAGGCCGAAGTTAATACCCATGTCCTGGACGAGCGCAGGCGGGGGAGGGTGCCCCGGACGCTGGGATTATGAAGGGGGCGGGCACCAGGCTCCTCCCCGGGGCTCAGAGGGATTAAGCGGACTCGGTCCCCCACTCTGCGTCCCCCGTCTGCCCCGGGGGCCCCGCCCGGGAGCGGAAGGACAGTTCCGTCCGGGACAATGGCAGCTTTGTCACCAGGGCGCCCGGCCGTGCCAGGGCCCAGGCAGCCCGGGACCTGAACACTGGGCGCCCGCCGGCTCCCGGACCCCCGGGCCGGCTCAGGCAAGGCTGCCGCGGGTGTGGATGCGGGGCGCGGCTCACCGTGCGTGTAGATGTTGCCCAGCTCGTTGTGCAGGTAGAAGAGGCTGCGCAGACAGCCCGAGCCGCTGCTGGCCGGCCGGTAGCCCGTGAGTACGAACTTGTTGAACTGCAGGTGCGGCGGGGAGCTGGCCCAGTCCAGCAGGCGCGGCCCGGCCAGGAACGCCATGGCCCGCGGCGGGCGGGCGCCGCGCTCCTCTGGCCCGGCCTGCTGCTCAGGGCTGCCGCGGCGCGCGGAGGCTCATCCCGGCGCCCGCCCGCCGCCCGGCGCTCCGTCCGCGCACGCGCCGCCGGGGGTCCCGGCCCGCGCCCCCTCCCGCGCTGCGCACGCGCGGCCGGGCGCCCCGACGCCGGGGCGGAGGCTGTGGCAGCGCGGGGCGCCGGAGCGCAGTGCGGCCGGCCTGGCAGGGGCGGGCGCGCCGCGGGGACAGCGCCTGGCGGCCGCGGCGTAGGCAACGACGGCCGGCTGTCTCTCCGCGGCCGGGAGGACGGGTGCGGCCGGACGCGGGTGGGGACGCCAGACTCCGCCCCAGCGGCTCGCCCCCGCCATCCCGCCAGCGTTTCGCGCGGGGTGCCCGTGACGTCGACCCTGCGAGGGCCAATGGGCGCGGCTGGCGGGGAGGCCCCGCCCACGCCCAGACTTTGGCTTAATTAGCATAATATACGCGGTCCCAGCCTTATTTGCATGGGGTAGCTGTGGGCGAGGGCTCCGAGGTTCTGGGTCCCGGTGGCTCTGCTGGAGTGACCCCGCCGCCTTGTCTGCCTCGCGCGCCCCGGCTTTCCGCGCGACCCCCCCAGGTCGACGCACCCTGGGGCACTCAGCCTCCCCGCCGCCCATCCCCACCCCTCACCCGGGCTCTGTCCAAGGTGCTGCCGGCCCCGGCCCTTCGGCCCAGGAAGGTCTAGACCCGGCGCGCCCCCACTCCAGGGGTGATCTCTCCAGTCGACTCAGCCCGAGCGCAGCGGGCCACGCTCAGATGCTCAGGCCTCTACAGGTGTGTCTGACGCGCCCCGCACCCTCGGGCGATGCCCTGCCCTTCGGACCAGTCTTCTGAGAACCTGGGCGCGGTCAGACTCGCTCCCTGTTATTGCCCATGGAGGGCACCTTCAGTTCCACCCGGAAAAGACAGGAATCGGAGGGGAAGAGAGTAGGCAGGAGGCCAAGGGAGAAAAGTCGGTCCCTGCCCGGGTTCATCCTAAAGCGGGTCCAGGAATGCATCCTCCTCCGGTTTAACCCCGCCCACCCCCGGCTTCCCCCTCCTCCCCTTCTCCCGGACCCCACCCACCCTTCTGCCTCCGCCTTTCTCAGTCCTCCGCCTTCCTGGCGGCTCCGAATCACTCCAAGCTCCTACCAACCTTAATTTTCATGGACACATCCAACATTGCTCCAATACCCTCATTAACATAACCCCTTTCATCACGCAGCAACTTGCAGAGCCCTGTATCAAAATAGGTCCTTTATTCAAAGTCTATGGTTGGTCTTTTGACTGCTTTCCTTGACCTCTCACATTTTACTTAGGGCAGCAGTCCAGGACCACACCAAGAAGCTCTCGAAGCCAACTGAAATCAGAGACCCCTCTATGAAAGTTCATGAGGAAGGGGAGCTGGGATCCTCTTGCCTTTAGGCCTCTGCCATCTGGCCCTGAGGGTCAGACCAAGTTCTCAACAGCACCAGATGCTTCCGGTCCAACGTCTGACCTCCACGGGATGACCAGAGACCCAGCTGCCCTTAACGGGGCGGAAGGTCAGCGCTGAGTGCGGCATGAAGTCTCGGGTGTCCATCCCGCTTGCAGCGGGTCCCGAGTCAGAGAGCAGAGATGAGCGAGCGCAGGGAACTCTGGCTGGAGGCGCTCAGGGGCCGGTAACTCGCCGCTAGACCCTCAGCCTGAGGGTCCCCCGGGGGGCAGGGCAGGGCCACCCCTCGAGGCCGGCGGTACCACACAGCCCAGCTTCTCCCGGGGCCCCGCGAAGGCCCCAACGCCGGGGGCCCTTTTCCCGGAGTCAGCAGACAGCTCCTAGAGAAGGAGCAGACGTCAGCCGAACCCAACCAATCTTGCCTCCAGCGTCCTGCTTCGCCTGCGGTCGCACGCGCGACTCCCTGTGTGGACGCAAGGCCTCGGCCCCCGGAGAACCCAGCCCGGGCCCCCTGGAGCTCCCAGCTTCCCAGCACCCCTCCCGCGCAGCGAGGCGTCTGCCCTCAGGCCCTGCCCCGGGGGGCGCACCGTCGGCGCAGCAGGCGCAGCAGCGACAGCAGCAGCAGCAGCAGCAGCAGCACGGAGACGGCCGCGACCGTCGGGAAGACCCGGGCTGCGGGCACACGGTGCTGTGAGGAGCGGGTCTGGGCGGGGCGGCTCCCCAAACTCCCTCCCGCCTGGCACGCCCGCCTCACCCCCCATCGCGGCCTCCGGAGCCCCGGGCCGGGGGCTGCAGCTCGCGTTGGCCCCGTCGAGGGGCGCTGCGGGGGTCTGGGCCGAGCCCTCAGGTGCCGGGTCGTCAGCGGCGTCCTGCAGCCCTGCGGGGAGAGGGGTGAGGCGGGGCGGGGGGCGGGCCGGGGGCCGGGGGCGGGGCGGGGGCGCGGGCCGGGCTCTCACCATGGAACGTGAGCGCGAAGCCCTGCGCGTGGCCGCGCGCGTCGCTGCGGAAGGTGAGCAGCAGCGCGGAGACCCGCAGGCGCAGCGGCCCGGGCGGCGGCCGGCGGGAGCCGTCGAAGGCGCGGAGCAGGCTGCCCGAGGCGGCGTCGCGCAGCTCCAGCCGGTCGCGCGGGTCGGCCAGCTCGAAGAGGCGGAAGGTGAGCTCCAGCGCGGCGCCCGGCGGCCGCAGCAGCCAACTGCAGTTGCGGTCCGGCCCGTACTCGTCGGGGAAGTCCGGGGAGTACACGACGCCCTGAGGCGCGGTCCAGTTGCCCTGGCAGGAGCCCACGGACACTGTGGGCGGAGCCGGCGTCAGAACCCCCGGCCGGGCTCCCCGCCCGCCCCAGGCCCCCCTGCCCTCTCACTCCTCACCTTCGTAGATGCCCAGGCGCCCATCGCCGCCGCACAGCTGGCCCGGGTGGCCGAAGCAAATCTGGTCGCAGTCGGTAGCTGGGGCCAGGCGTCCCCGGTCCAGGTCGCTTTCGGAGCCACAGAAGCAGGCGTAGCCGGCCTCCACGCCCGCCAGCTGGGAGCACAGACTGGGTGACCCCCGAGGCAGGGGCGGGGGCAGGGGCGGGGGAGCGAGAGGCTGGGGCCTGGGCCGTAGGTGGGAGCCGGCCTGGCGCTTCCAAAATCAACGTCAGGGTTTGACGTCAGAGGTGGGAGTTGATTTGGGTCCTGAGGTCAAGTTCAGGGGTCACCGTTCTGGGCCGGAGGTAGGGGTCAGTACCTGGTAGCCCTTCATGCGGCAGAAGCGGAGGCACACCTGAACCGTGAGCTTTGTCGAGGTGCCGCTGGGGCCGCTGAGAGCCGGGGGGGCCCCCGAATCGACGAAGCAGCCCAGGTACCCGGGCACTGAGGAGCAGCAGAGTCAGGCTTGGTCCCTTCCCTCCAAGAGCCAACTCTACCCAGGCAGCTGGCCGTTCCCAGCCTTGCCCAGCCAGGCCCACTCACTGTGACACGTGGGGATGTCGCAATAGCGCCAGTAGATGCCCTCCTCTGTCTCGGCTACATAGCACCATGGCTGCACGTCGCCGTCTGGGTTCCTGCCATTGGGGGAGAAGTGGTCCAGATCCCCCCACCCCAAAGGCTGCAAATCCCAGGCCCCATCCCACAACCTGTTCTTAAAATGGCCACCACGTGTGTTAGAACTTATTTGTGCATTCCTCTCTGTTGTCCCACAAGTTCAGGTTTGTCCCACGTGCTTCTGGATGTCAACTTCTGACTGGGTGGGGGGTAAAGGGGAGATGTCCTTAAAGGGGCCCTGAGGACATATTTTGGGCTGCAGCTGTTGCTAGGACATGACCTTATACACGAGGACTTTGAGGCCACCAGGGGTCTCCCCAATGCTGCCTTGGGCCTCAGCCATTCTCTTGCCTTGGAACCCTACTTTAAGGCAAAAGTGGGGATCTCTGAGCTTTGTGTGTCCTCCCACTCCACTCCAGACAGCAGGGGGGGCTCTGAGCCCCCAATCTCTCCATCACAAGTAGAGCCTCTCAAGTAAGTTGTATGGCAAGGGCCTGGCCCCTTGCTCCAGGGCTCGCCCCTGCCTGGGTTCCGCTGGCACCGGCTTCTGGGATGCCCAGGCCTGACCTGACAGTCTGCAGAGTTTGGGCACCGAAGGCCAGTCCCCTGCTGGAAAATATTCAGCATGACCCGCCTGGCCCCTAGGAGGGGCTAGGCTGGGTCCCTCTCGCAGCTGTGCGCCCAGCCCCTCCAGGTGGACTTTGTGTCCCACGGGCCAAGACCTCCACGCAGCCCAGTCGGCCCCGGCCCTCCCCTCACCGGCAGAAGTTGTGCGGGCCCAGCCCCCAGCGGCCCTGGGGGTCGCTGGCGCTGCTGTAGCTGTGCTGCTGCGTCTGGTCCCAGAAGAGGCACGGGCGGCCGGCCCCGCGGGGCCCTGTGCGGTTCTGGTGGCCGCGGTAGTCGGCGCCATTCACCTGGAAGCACTCGGACAGGCCTGCAGGACAAACGCGGGGGGCCGGAGGTCGGACCTTCCTGCATCTGCACCACTTCGACCCCAACTGCCACCCTGCCAGCCAGCACCCCCCACCCCACCCCACCCCCCCTACGGGGCCCTGGGGCTGCTCAGCTGCTCCAGCCACCAGCTCCGCCCCCTCCTCTGCCTCTGCCCCGGGCAGGCAAGGGCCAAGAGAGGTGACCGCGGCTGTCATTGGGCCGAGACTCACCTGGGCTGTGCAGGCTCCCCGCTGAGGCCCCGCGGGACAGCAGCAGCGGGAGGAAGAGGAGGAGGAGGAGGCCCTGCAGGGGCCCCGTTTCCATCGTCCCCAACCAGAGAGAGGTTGCCTGGGCCGGCGCAGGGTCCAGGCCGCCCCCAGGGTCGCTCAGGGGTCTTCCAGGCCACCTGGGGGCTGTTGTCCTCTGACAGTCTGCTCTGGGGCCGCACTCTCGGTCTGGGCCGGTGAATCTCCCGCGGGGATCTGCCTCCCCGGTTCCGCCCCTGAAGGCGCCTCTCTGCCCCAGGTTCCCCTTGGCTGTATCCCCTGGGTCCTCTGGCCAGCAGCGCCCTCTGTCACTGCCTCTGGGGGCTCCAGGTCTAGCCTCGGCTTCCACGCCCACCCCCTCGGGAGGCGCCTTGCTCTCTGAGTCGCCCTCACTCAGGTCTCTAACGCACTGGCTCCTGCCCCCCTCGCGTCCCTCTGTGGGTCCCTCCCCCTGGAATCCCTCCCTCCCCACCCCATCCCCCCGAGGCCGGGAAGCCCCGCCCGAGACTGGAGCAGAGGCAGCAGGTCCAGACGCCTCCCACGCCAACACCCCCCTCCCCAACACCCTGCCCGGGGACCCCAGTGTCCCGGCCCGCGGCTCCCCCCCACCCCCGCTCACTCCCAGGGTCCCCGCGGGCTCTAGGGCTGCGTGGAGCAGGCCAGGCCAGTCGGTGGACAGAAGGGCCCTAATGGGGCTGATACAAGACCCTGTCCCGAGGCCGCCCGCTGCCGGGACACCGCAGAGGCGCCCGTGAATCCGGCCCTCGCTGGCACTCCGGGTCACCCACCCAGCGCCACAAGCTCCAAAGCACACCCTCTTCGGATTCCCGCGCCCCTTTCCCCAAGTACCGAATGCCTCTGGTTTGACGAAGGAAGTGCCACTCCCTGCCCCGCGCCCCGCGAGACAGGCGGGAACGGTGGACGCTCAGTCCCGGACAGGCAGGGCCAGCTGGTGTCTGGGGACGGAGGCAGCTGCGCCCCTGGTCCCGGCCCGCCCCCTCCTCTCTTCCCCCTTCTTTCCGTAGGACCCCCGGCCCAGGCTCGCCGGGGCCCTCGCAGCGCCGTGGAATTCCCCCAGCGGAGCCCCCCCACCCCCACCCTGGCGGGGGAGGGGGAGGGGAGCAGGCCCGGGCAGGCGTGGGGGGAAATTCCCCGCCCCCCCCCGCCCCCCCCCCCCCCCCCCCGCCGACTCCTCCGAATCCTCTGATCTCCCAGCGCCGCCCGCCGGCTGCCCCCAGGGCTTGGGGGGAGGCCAGCGCAGGTGTGTGGGAGGGCGGGGGCGGGCGCCGGGGCGGGGACGGGCGGCAGCACCCCCCCCAGCGACCCCGCCCCGCGCGCAGCGCTGGCCGCTCAGTCCAGCCTCACCCCCTGCCCAGGCCCTCGCCAAGCTGTCCAGCCCTGACAGAGCTGTCGGGGCCATTAGGATGGGAGGGGGAGCAGGAAGGATTCTAGAAGGGCCAAGATGTGGGCGGCGCCGGCGGGTTGGACACCTCGCAGTTGGTGCCCTGGTGAGCGTTCCGAGGAGCCGGGCTTGCTGAAAGTCGGTGCCCAGGCGGGTGGCCTCCTGGGGAGTACCCCTCGGCCGCCAGGCTGCCCAGGGCTCAGCTCCCGGGCTCCTGGCCTTGCTGAGCACTGGACTTGGAGGCTCACCTGCGCAGGCCAGCCCAGCGCAGAGCACCTGTCTAATGCCCCCCCCCAGGACCAGGGGACAGCCGGCGGCCAGCCTTCGCTGCAGGTGGGAAAGAGGCAGTTGCTGCCTGGGCTCGTAGGTGCCCTCCCAAGTTTCTGGCCAGCAGGGAGCTGGGGTCTGCAGGCCTCGGCTCTGTGGCGGAGTTGTGTGCGGAGCCTCACCTCCAGGGTCACCGAATACCCAGGAAAGGGCTGGGTGGGGGATAGGGACAGGGGTCAGTAGGGAGAGTAGAGTGGGGACTGCCCCTGCCTGGCAGGAACGGGCCAGGCTGTCGCGCAGTCTAATGTACTTCCTGAGGCCTCCGTCTCCTGCAAAGGGGAGGCTGGAGGACTGGGGGAGGGTGCTCTGTTCCAGAACTGGGGCACCCACATGAGGGGCAGTGTAGTGTGCTCCTTGCAGGCTCCAGTGCCAGATGACTCCCGGAACCTCAAACTAAAGAGGCCCTTGGCCCTCACCCTGCCACTTAGAGGGAGTTCAGGAAAGCTCAAGGGCCTCACAGTCTCAGCCAGGACTTCCACTTGGTCCCCCCAGACTGCCGTGGGGGGACAGCTGGGTCCCTCCTACCTGCTCCGGCCCTCTACCTGTGTTTACTGACCCCGGTTCCTCCGGCTCCTGTGCAAACAGCTGAACTTCATTTTCCTGCCTCCCTTGCATCTGACTATGGGGGTGAGTTCGGGCCAACGGGACATGTGCAGGAGTGATGCCTCAGTACTCAAAGTAGGGGGGCCGCCCACCAGCAGCGGCATCCCTGAGGAGCTTGTTAGAAATGCAGTCCCAGGCTCCACCCCCGACCTCCTTCATCAGGACCTCCAGGTTGGCAAAGCGCACACGTAGGCCCCTGCCAACTGGATGCGGAAGATGCCCAGGGCCTGGAGGGGGGAAGGAGCTGGATTCCCGGGTGACCTTGTGGAAGGTGGCCACCAGCCAGGAGAGTAGGGATGCGTGAGAAAGAAGTCCGTGTTGCCTAGCTGCTGGGGCTGGAGGTTTGCTTGTTACAGCAGCTCTGCCGACACAGCCCTGCCCCGTCTAGTTCTAGTCGCCCGTGTTGCTTTCCCTGGCGTCCTAACAAAGTCCCACAGCCTGGGCAGCAGGGTGGCTTCTTTCTGGAAGCTGAGTGCGGGCTCGTTTGACACCCCTCCACTAGCTTCGGGAGGCCACTGGGTTATCACTGGTGTGCCTTGGCCTGTGGAAGCATCACCACAGTCTGGCTTCATCTTCACACGGCATTCTCCCTGCGTGAGTCTGTGTCCAAATCTCCCCCCACCCCACCCCGTTTTAAAAGATTTTATTTATTCATTTGAGAGACAGAGCACGAGCAGAGAGGAGAGGCAGATGCCATCCCAGGACCCCGGATCATGACCTGAGCCCCCCGGGTGCCCTGTACTGCCAGACGCCCCCAGGCATCCCAGATCTCTCTCTTTTTTGCATAGTAGTCCACAGTGTGGCTAGACCACATTTTCTTTATCCCTTCATATGTCAGTGGACATGTGGGTCACTTCCACCAGCCAGCGTCCAACAGACTTGGGACAAGGACCTGAGCAGGACCCTGACTGGGTCCCCACTGCCCCCCGTCTTCACCTCCTCAATCACATTTAACAGAGATTGTATGAGCCCCTGTAGGTGCTGGGCAAATACTCTTCCTTTCTCTAAAGCATTGGGGGTGAGAGGCCAGAGCCTAAGGCCCAAGTCAGGGCCTTATTTCCAAAGCCAAGGGGCCCTTCTAGAGCCTTCCAAACCCTCAGGGGAACAGTGAGATAGGCGGCCAGAAGGGTCTGGGCTCTGCAGGCCCGTGGTGAGGATATGGCCTAAGGCCAGGGACCTCCTGCCCTAGTACCTCTGGCTTTTGGTCCTTGGACCAGTTCATCATACTTGATGTAGAAACCAGACAGAGGACACCTGGGCCAGGTGCGGTGTGATAGGACTGCATTTTAGGGGCGCCTGGGGGGCTCAGCAGTTGAGCGTCTACCTTCGGCTCAGGGTGTGATCCCGGGGTTCCGGGATCGAGTCCCGCATGGGGCTCCCTGCATGGAGCCTGCTTCTCCTCTGCCTGTGTCTCTGCCTCTCTGTGTGTCTCTCGTGAACAAATAAATAAAATCTTAAAAAAAAAAAAAGAAAAAAAAAACGAAGACTGCATTTTAGAAAGCTCCTGGCGATCATGGGGATGGATTGCAGAAAGGGGGCAGTGGAGACACTGCTGTAGCCATGCAGGCCAGTGTTTGGGGCTCTAGTGATTCTGGGGCCGGGACTGGGGGTGTTTACTCAGGCAAGGACCAGCGACACGGTTGTCTTCACTATGTATGCGCCTTAGCTGGTGCCCTGGAGTGACTGTACCCCTCCGAAATTCGTATGTTGAAACTCAAATCAAATGTGATGCTATCAGGACGTGAAGCCCCTGGGAGGTGTTTAGGTCAGCGTGGAGCTTCAGGATGGATCATGAGCGGCTGGAGAGTGAGCTAGTCACCTGCCCCGACGAGGACGGAGCAAGGAGGCTCTCGTCAGAACTTACTCGGGCATGCCCCCTCATCCCAGGCCTCCAGCCTCAGAGCCCTGAGGCATGCACGTTGGTTGTGGAAGCGTCCCTCCATCTGTGGCATTTGTTAAGACGCCCTGGATGGACTGACACCCGAATCCCCCAAAGCCTCTCAGTGCCAGGGAAAGAAACCCCTTCTGCTTCACCACGTGGGGAAAGTGGGCAGAGTGAGTGAGCCCAGTGGGTCTGGGGCTTCTTTTTGGGGTGATGAATATTCTGGAATTAGATGGTGGTGATGGACGCAGCACTGGTGAATATACTAAGAGCCACTGAGTCACAGACTGAGTGGCGCGTGGATTAAGGACAGGGCAGCACGCAGCACAGCTCTGGGTTTCTCCTCGTGCGGTGGAACCACCACGAGGAGGACAACAGGTGGCTGTCCCCCTCTGCTGTTGTACCCCGTGCCCACGGGTCACCAGGGCTGAGGCCGTGGAGGCGGCTGGACACACGGGTCCAGTTCCGGAAGACAGGGCCAGGCCGATGCCGCAGACGGACAGACTGGGAGGCCTCAAAACTGCTGGGCAGGAGCTGGGCAGGAGCTGGGCAGGAGCTGGGCAGGAGAGGGCAGAGGGCCAGTCCCCGCCACACCAACCACCCAGCTTTAGGGGCGGGTGGGGGCAGGGGAGCCCTCCAGGGAGGCCTGGGCCAGTGCAGGAAGGGAGGCCCAGGACCGAGGCGTGACCTTGGGAGGGGGCGGGAGGGGCAGGCAGGGAGCTCTGAGAAGCACCCGCTGACTGTCGGCACAGGAGTTCCTGTGTGCCAGGGTCCTGCGGGAAGGACCAAGGGGCTGGAGCCGCGAGTAGCCTTTCTGCGATGCTCACCTAACACCCCTGGGGGCAGGGACTGGGGGCCGGGGCTCCTACAGCTGGCCACTGCCCCCCAGTTTTAAGAGTTGAGTTCCGGGGATCCCTGGGTGGCTCAGTGGTTTGGCGCCTGCCTTTGGCCCAGGGCGCAATCCTGGAGACCCGGGATCGAATCCCAGGTCGGGCTCCCGGTGCATGGAGCCTGCTTATCCCTCTGCCTGTGTCTCTGCCTCTCTCTCTCTCTCTCTCTCTCTGTGTGTGTGTGTGACTATCATAAATAAAAAAAAAATAAGAGTTGAGTTCCTTGTTGATATTTCTGTTATTCCTAGTGAAGTTTTTTTAATGCCATAATTGAAACATAATTTCATAATTGTTGCTCACCATCACGCAGAGGGGGCGGGCACACAAATGACCTGCTCCGGTGGTGGAGACATCCTACAATGGGGCTTACTGGGGGAAAGTAGCAGCAGAGCAGGAGCAGGGAGGGAGCGGGCATTGCCCTGCCGATCAGTCTCCATCCATCCACTGAGGCGCCAGCTTCCTGGCCACCTGCCCTTGTGCACTCTGCTCTGTGACGGGAGGGGCTCTGGACTCTGGAGGAAGCAGACCTATGGGAGGAAGCATGCGGAGCTCGGAGCAGCCATGGGGCACCCAAGGGGATGGCGGTGTCAAAATTCCTGTCCATCTGGGAGTCAGTTCAAGTGCCACAGAGCATCCGTGTGTCCTCTGAGGTCCAAGCAGGAGCAGAGAGGAGCACGCAGGCCCCCGTCAGCATGAGTGTCCAGGAGTGAAGAGAAGCCTAGGTCCCTCTGTGACTCTCCTTGTGCTGCATCCCAGAGCGCAGCCAAGCTGAGGGCCATGGGACTTGAGAATGAGGAACTCAGTGTCCCTGCAGGTGGCTTTGCAGGTTGCAGCAGCTGTGGGGACTCAGCACTTCTTGCTGGAGCACCTCACGCCTGTGGGGGGCTCCCCTTCCACAGTGGAGCTGAGCAGACTCAACTGGTAGAGGCACAGACTCTCCTCCAGGTGTGGCCACTGCCCGAGGGCATGCGTATGTGTGACACAAAGATGGATCTGGGATTGGGTGTCCTATCTGTTCCCACAGGGCTGTGTCTGGCATCGGCCGTGGGCAGCTCATTGTCTCAGGGCAGCATGCTGTGTGGCCAAGAGCATTGCTTGAAACGGCCCCTGCGTGGGGCGTCCACTGCTGAGGGCCGTCAGCACAGGGGTCCTCTGGCAGACACCTGCCTCCTACCTGCTACGTCCCTGCACCGTCCTCTCGACCGCTGCCAAGGCTGCGAGGCTAGGGCCCCATGGGGCTGCAACTGGGTCAACTGATGGGGCACTTATTTGCCTGGGAGGGGAGCCAGGGTCTGATTGGGGGTCTAAGTGCCCTGTCCTTGGGGTAGTCATTCCATTTCCAGCTTGCCCCAGTTTCTGAGAGTGCGGTGGGGCTCAGGGTGAGGGGCAGCAGCAGAGAATCGAGGTGTTTCAGCGACACAAAGGCAATGGCCAGCTGGGGCCGCAGCCCTGTGTGCTTGGAGCGGACCCCTTGGCCACTGCTCCAGAGCACCCCCACCTGCTCCTGCTCCAGCTGACATCTGGGCCAGGTACCTGGCACTGCCTCCTGTGTGGGGGTCTCTTCTGGGGGTGCCTGGCCAAACTCCATCACTCCCAACCTTGCACGGAGACACAGTGCGTGTGGCTTCACAGCGGCCAACTGTCCTTGCAAAGGGGACGTGGGCGTACATACCAGTTCTACACGGTGAGATATAAAAGAGGGTTTATTGGCAGCAAATCTACGCGTGGAGGGACAGTGGGGTCCCAAGCCGTCGCTGCTCCAGTGCCAGACAGCAGGCTCCACAGCCAGCTATGCGCTCTCTGTACCTACAGCTGGCGGTGAGGAACCCCGTGGGGAGGCCGCAGCCCAGTCAGCCAGCAGCGGCCTCTGGAGCTCTGGGCCACACCAGCCTGCTTCTCCTCGGGCCTGCGAGGCCAGCTCTCTGTTACGCTGCCAGATGGGAGAGGCGGGTGGGCCTCGCCGCCCCCTGGGCCTGCCTGTCGTCCTGCATCACACAAATGTGGGCAACCCAGACGTTGCTGGCCAGTAGCGTCTGTCCGGGACTGGCTCCCGCTGCGGGGAACGCCACATGCTACGGCAATCGCGGACCCTGGCTTTAATTTCAGTCGGAAGAGAGCAAAGGAAAGAGGTGCTGAGAGGGTGTGGCAAGGCCTCTGCTCTGGCCTGCCCTGCTACTGTGAGGGGTGTGCGGACGCCGCCCTGGCACCCGTCCAGAAACACCTGGGGAGGCGACAGCTTCACGGGGCGCTCGGCTGGAAGCAGCAGGAGGCTCTCAGTGCGCCCTGGCCAAGGCAGGACCCTGGGAAACGGGAAAGTCCTGGGCAAAGTCCCAGGCTCTGGAAACAGGCGGGCGTTTGCAGCTCAGGGCAGCACAGTGGGGAGGAGGCGTCTCCGTGTCAAGAGGCTTCTTCGGACCTTCATGGGCCGGGCCCGTCCCCGGTCACGCACACCTGCAGCCGCCAGCTCCTGGCGCTCCTGCCTGCCCGCCCGGAGACGCCGTCCAGGTATGAGGCCCTTGGAGAAACATGAAGGCCAGTGCTTCGGACGAGTGGAAGAAAGTCTTTGTGAAGCAGAATCTAACTGGGAGGGTAACGCCAGGGGCCTGGGTACGCTCAGACCATCCCTGACGTCGGCAGCGTGGAGGCTCAGCCGCTCGAGTCGGGAAGGAGGCTGGCCTCACTGGGCCCGCTGTCCAGCTTCGTACCGTTCACCTGCCTGGTCACAAAGAAACACACGTTCATTATAAAAATCCAAAGGCGGCAGAGGTGGGCAGTAGAGGAAGTCTCCTCCCGCCCGGAGATAACCAGCTGGTGCTCACACACGCTCAGGACACACGTCCTACCATTTCCTTTAAGAGGGGAGGCTGCTCCAGGGTTCCCGGCTCTCTCTGCAAGCCTGTCCTGGGGGGAACTGACACTCCTGAGAAGTCGTATCTCCCACTCGGGGAGTCCTGGGACGTGCCCGGGCCTCTGAGATTCTTTGCCAAGAAACAAAAAGTTCTCTATTGCCGTGATGGCTTTGGAAAACGTGGCAAATTCTCTGACACCCGCCATTGCAGGGGAAGGAGCTGCCTGGCTCCCAGGGAACAGGGCAGGCAGGCAGGCCGCGGCCCCAAGTCACCGGGACTCCCTCCTGGGCTCACTTGGCTACACTGAGCGGTCATCCTCCTGCCACATCACCTACCCAGGTGGCTGTGGAACCAGGCGCCCACCCCCACAACCGCTCGGAGGATGTTCCCTCTCTCCCCGAAAGTGCTCCCCCCTCCTTTCCTACTGTGGGGGGAGCTTATGAAGGGCCAGTGTTGATCCTTGGCCAAGCGTTTTGTAGAGGGCACCATGGTCGCCACCGTCCGGCCAGGCTTTTCTGGGTGGGAAGTTGTCAAACAACTCCATCAGTCTCTACCTGGTACAGGTCTGCTCACATTTTCTTATTTCTTCCTGGGTTGGCCTTGGCAGCTGTTCTGCCACTGCTCATGCCGTTCCCTGACGACCCTCTGTGTGTGCGGCTCTTCCTGTGGAGTAGGCAGTCATGCCCCGCTTTCACTCTTGATTTTAATAACTTGATTCTTCCCGATCTTATTTTATTTTACTCAAATAGTTTTTTTTTAGTCACCTCTACACCTAACCTGAGGCTCGAACTCATGACCCTGAGGTCAAGAGTCACATGCCCCTCTGACTGAGCCCGCCGGGTGCCCCTGAGTCTTCTCTATCTTTACAGACCAATTTTGGGGGAAAAAATAAAAATAATAGGAAAGTAAAAACCAGTTTTGGGGATGATGGAGCTAAAGGTTCGGCAATTTTGTTGATCCTTCCCAAGAACCAACTTCTGGTCCTGTTCCTTTTCTCTCTTTCATTAATTTCTGTTCTTTTTTTTTTTTTTAAGATCTTATTCATTTATTTGGCAGAGAGAAAGAGAGAGAGGGAGAAAGAGAGAGAGAGCGAGTGCGCACAAGCATGGGGAGCGGCAGAGGCAGAGGGAGAAGCTGACTCCCCACAGAGCAGGGAGGCTGACACGGGGCTGGATCCCAGGACCCCGGGATCATGACCTGAGCTGAAGGCAGACGCCCAACCATGAGCCACTCAGGCGCCCCTCATTCATTTCTGTTCTTTTTTCCCTCCTGCTTTAGCATTGCTCTGTTTCTCTATCCTAGTGTCTAACTAACATAAGCATAAGTTACGGACTTGGGATCTTTCTTCTTTTTTCATGTAAGTCTTTCCAGCTATACTTTAAGCTCTGCTCTGCTGTCCCCCGTGCGTCTTGCTGTGCTGGGTCTCCATCCGCCTCGGGATTTCTTCTCAGAGTCTCAGTTATTCTGGATGTTGATTGTCCCATGTCTATAAGTTTCCAGCTTTGTCTGTGTTGCTGATTTCTGGCTTCATTCCACTCTGAACAGATAATGAGCTTTGTGTGATTCCAGTCCTTGCTGTTGGACGAGGCCTGTTTCACAGCCTAGGTTCTGTCTCCCAGTGAGTACTCCAGATGCTCTTGGGGGGACCACCAACCGCACTTGCTGGTGGCCTCCTCCTTGCTCTGCTCACCCGCAGATCACTGTCTTGGGGGGAGAGAGCTGTCATGGTGGAGGAGCGGGGCACACAGCCCACAGGCGTGTGCGCGGTGAGGCACTGCGGGACCCGCTCCTGGCCCACTCAGGCCTTCAGAGACACAGCTCCGGCCGCCGTCCTTCCTCCAACCTCATGAGAGACCCCATGCCAAAACCGCCAGCCCAACTGCTCCTGCCCACAGACTCTGAGAGAGACAGTAAATGTTTGCCAACATAAGCCACTACGTGTTGGGGGGACTTGTGGTGCCCGAGACAACTCACAATTACCCACACAACTGCTGGCTTTCCGGAGAACCAGGCTGGACGCACAGCTGCACTTCCGGTGGAAGTTTCACCTTTTCTGAGGAAACAAAATTGAAAACATGGATTAGTAATTCTGTTTTGTGTTTATGATTTTCTTTTTATTATTATTATTATTTTTTTATGTAGGCTCTACACCCAGCACGGAGCCCAACACAGGGCCTGAATTCACGACCCTGATATCAAGACCTGAGCCGAGATCAGGAGTCAGACACTTAACACACAGAGCCGCCCAGGCACCACCCCCCCTTTCCTTTCTTAAGTCTTCTCTACACTCAGTGTGGGACTTGAACTCACAACCTGGATATGAAGAGTCACGTGTTTCACTGACTGAGTCAGCTGGACGTCCCATTAATTCTTTTCATATTGAAGCTGCTAGAGCCAAAAGTACATATTTTGTAACAATGACCTCACCTTGAGGATAAAGAAAACTGGGTAGAGTGACTCTGATTTGGGTAGTCACTGGGAATTCTGGTTTTCTGAAGCCCCAAACTACTCGTGCCTGGTGAAAGAAGCTATTTGGGACTCTGAGGGTCAGCATTCAGCCTGTCATTCATCAGAGGAGGACTGAACAAGTGCCCTCGACTGCGCCACAGGTGTCCCACAACTTCTCTTTCTTATTGTCGTCAGACAGTGGCTTTCTCCCAGAAACCTCCTTTTTAAAAATTTTTAGTTATTTTTTTTAGCAGAAATCAAATTTCTTTCAGTTGTTTTATAGAACTTGGATTCGTTTTTATATTTTATAAGATATGGCCCTTATTATTCACATGAATTCATATGAAACACAAAAATGCAGGGCACCGGGGTGTCTGGGTGCCCAGTGGTTGAGCATCTGCCTTTGGCTTAGGGCCTGATCCCGGGATCCTGGATCACATCCCACATCGTGCTCCCCACAGGGAGCCTGCTTCTCCTTCTGCCTGCGTCTCTGCCTCTCTCTGTGTCTCTCAGGAATAAATATAATCTTGAAAAAAAAATGCACGGCACCTGGGTGGCTCAGTTGGTTAAGCGTCTGCCTTTGGCTTGGGTCATGACCTGGGATCAAGCTCGCATGCGGCTGGGCTCCCTGCTCAGGGGGCAGCCTGATTCTCCCTCTCCCTCTGCCGCTCCTCCCGCTCATGTGCTCTATCTCAAATAAGTCAATTAAATCTTTAAAAAAAAATGGTTCCTAAAGACTAGTTTTGTATTCTGTTTATATGAAGGAAACTCATTTTCAGCTCAATAAAATTAATTCTTGGCAAAATCTTGTGAGCGTGCATGTGTACATGTGTGTGTGCATGTGTGTACACACAAATATTAGCTTGCTCTTTTTGGAGCAGTCTCCGTTTCTTCATCTGATTTTCAAGAGAGACTGATCTGTAACTAGTCAAGACCTCTTAGAATAAATGACAGGAGAGGAACCGAATTAGAAGGGAAGTCGTCTTGAGGATGGGAAGGATCTAGGGAAGGATTGGTTTTCAGGTTCCAGAGAAGGCGTCAGTGGACAAGAGGTAGGAGAGTCTGGGGTCTAAAGGCTAGGGCACAAAGCTCCTCAGATGGTGCCTATCCCGAGTGGTCTGAGCCTTGGGCTGGCAGAGACGAGAGGCCCACGGCTCTTTTGTACTCCCAGATCTGACCCCTGTCCCGGGCTGTACCTGGGTCCTCCTGCGGGGCCACGCTGGGGAGCTGCTCCCGCTGCCTCAGGGCCTCCAGGCCTGCCAGGTCGGGCAGGTGGCAGTGGCTACGCATCACCGTCACCAGCTGGCCCTGGGTGATGGCCCGGCTGCGGCAGCCCAGCCGGGCCTGGTCCCGGCACATCCAGTACACCTTCTCCCCCACCGCCTTCTCCTTCCTGTAGAGGAAGGACTTGTACACCAGGAACCTGCCCCCAAGGGACGTCCTCAGGAACTCCAGAGGCTGGAGGGCTCCTGGAAGGAATGTGGCAGCATGAAAGGGGCATCTCAGAAGCAGGATAAGAGCCTGGGCTCCAGGCTCAGAGACTGTTTCCTTTGTGCCCCAGCCCGCCCCAGGAACTGCAATCCCCCCGCAGGACCCACTCTGTTGGCCGCCTCTCCACCAGCCCGTGCTGCAGGGCCCAGGGCCCTGACACCCTCCAGCACAGACTGGCTGTGTGTTTTTCAGGGCTTTGGTGCTGCAGGGGAGGCTGGCCCCATAACTGCCCAAAACCTGAGCTTTCCTGCAGGCCTCCCCTGAGCTGGAGTGGATTCTACACCCGGGCCAGCCCTCCAGGTCAGAGGCTAGGCTGGAACATTCAGCCGGGCCCATGGTTGGGGCCCCATGCACCTGGGCCTCCTGGCTCCATCTCCACCCTCCCCTTGTCTAGCTGGCAACCAATCAACTCTCTCTTGAGGCTTTTAACACTCTGAATTGAAAGGTCATGTGATGTTGGGGTTTGGGTGGCCAGAGAGAACTGGGGCAGGGGAGGCAGGAAAATAGACATGAGATACCTGGAGAGGGGAGACAGAGGGTCCCTGAAGTCTAGGGGCATCGACCCATAAACGATGCTGAGCACTTCCTGGAGGTGATGCCCTGCCACCCCCTGCCCTCCAGCTGTCTGAGTGGGTTCTTCTCTGCTGACGGCCAATCCCACACCAGCAGCGGGCATGACTGTGGAGCCCAATGCAGCCCTGCCCTTAGGGAGCTCACACGGGGGGCAGATAGAACAATGTGCATGGGTGCCCGTGGCCACCAGGCATGGGCTGAGGACAGAATGTCCCAGTGGGGAGACCGCAGCACCTGCCTCCCTCCACACCCTCTCACTCGCACCTGAGCCTTCCCTCTGGGCCGGGCTGGGGATCTGCTCCCGCTGCCTCAGGGCCTCCAGCCCCCCCAGGTCGGGCGGGTGGCAGTGCCTGCGCATCACCATCACCCGCTGGCCCTGGGTGATGGCCCGGCTGCGGCAGCCCATGCGGGCCTGGTCCCGGCACGTCCAGTACACCTTCTCCCCCGCTGCCTTCTCCCGCCTGTACAGGAAGGACTCATATACCAGGAAGCTGCCCCCCAGGGGGGTCCTCAGGAACTCAGGGCCTCCTGGGGAGAAACAGGAGAGGTGGGTGGGGAAGGAGAGCTGGGAGCTAGGTCTTGGAGTTGGGCAGTGAGGTGATGCGGGCCCCTGTGTCAAAGCAGGAACAGCATGGCCCCTGGGGTGAGGCCCGCCGCCCCATCCCAGGTCGTCCTCCCAGGGAGAGGACATGGCTCTGGACTCCAGGGTGCAGGGCCCCCACTTCCCAAACCCAGCCTAGCCTCAGGTCCCAGGGGCTCTCTTCTCAAGCCTAGGAGTGAAGGGAGGCGGAAGCCTGGTGAGGCGAAGGCCCCTGAAGGTGGGAATCTGTCTCCCTCCTTGTGGGGCCTGCAGGGAGGTGGTGGCCTTGCTGTGACCGCTGACTTCTCCTAGGTTCCTGAGATGGGTGGGGGTGCTCATGCAGGGCTGTTCGGTCCTGGCATAGTTGGAGGAATATGCATGGGCCCTCTGGGTCCAGGAGAGAGATGGGGGCTGGGGTGAAGGTGTGCATTGCAGCAAGAGGCTACGGCAGCATGAGGTCCCCAAGCTGAGCGGGGATGTGACCCAAGACGCTGGGAGGAGGCAAGGAGTGGCAGGGCCAGTGGAGGGTGAGGACCCAGAAGGCGGCTGTGCCTTCCACCCTGAAAACGTCCTCCCAGGCACCGGGACCACAGAGGAGCGGGTGACAGACTGGGGAGTCTATCGGGGCTGCAGAAGCCACTGGGGACGAGTACGTCGTGGAGACGCAGGCGGAGGAACTGAGTATGTGACCGCAGGGCTTGTCTTCGCTCCCTCTGCAGCCCATGACAACAGGCAGTGAAGAGTGACAAGAGCACAGCACTCCAGGCCGGGGACTTGGAACGGAGAAGCCCCCAGAATGTCAGAGTTGGGGGGGGGGGCAACTTGGCAAAGCAGCCTGGGTGGGAAGCCATCAGAGCCCAGGGGCGAGCGCCAGGTGGAGGACACAGTCTTTCCACAAGTGGCATCCAGGGCAGGCCTCCACCCATGGGCACAGGATGGGGCTATTTGTGTGGAGAGCAAAGAGCCCAGGGGGCCGCGCCCAGGGGAAGGGGCAGCAGGTGCCTGTGTCCCCAAGGCTGGCACTTCCCGCCCACCGCCCCTGCCGGCTCCCAGAAGGCTGGCATTGGGTGAGATGCCCAGCGGGAGGCTGGGTACTGGCCCACCCGCAGACCCACAGAGCCAAAGTCAGGGGTCTCAGGCCACAGTCACCACTCGCACTCGCAGGCACCTGACTGCAGGCCCCTGCTCAGCACCCCGTACAGAGCTTGTGAGCCTGGCTTGAACAGGAGCAGCCAGAAAGGGTCACCAGACACAAGAGAAGCTCCACCCCGAGGGCAAAGGCCAAAGCAAATGCACCAAGCCACGGCACAGAGAGTGAGGGGGTGACACAGCCACCGCCACAGGCCGGACAGGTGACAGAGTGAGTGCAAAGATGTCCAAATACGACAGCAGAAACTTAGATGTTACATGGAAAGATCGGAAGGCAAAATGGAGGAGCTGTCCCGGGCAGGCACGCCGGGAGGATGGACATCTGGCCAACAGGAGCAACGGAGAGAAGCGAGCAAGGAGCAGAAAGTGCCCGGGAACGGGAGAAAGAGAGCACGACTTGCGATTCCTGCCTCAAAGGCCCTCAGCCCAGCCAGGTGTCCCAGCGATGGAGACATGACCCCAAAACTTCAACAAAGCAGCAGCATAGGCCTAGGACCCGTCCTCTGAAAGCTATGGTCGGTTCAATGTGGAGACCAGACAACCCCAGAAAAGGACTCACGACAGCCACTCTCCATCAGGCATCCTCGGATGTGTGTGGTCCCCTAGGGTGGCCCCAGGGCCTCCGCAGGACAAGGGAGTAAACCGGGCAAGAGAAAGAGGGGCCTGGCGGCGGGGCACAGCCAAGGGGGTCCCGGGAGGACTGGAGCCAAAGCTGGAGCTGCCCCCGGCCTGGCCGCCCCGTGCGTGAGGCCCACAGACTAAGCAGCTACTGGATGCTGGACGGCTGAGCAACAGCCTCATGAGAAGGACTGGAGCCGTGCGGGCCTGTGTGCCACCCTGAACAAAGTTCCACAGGGACCCCCCGCCCCCAGGTCAACAGGCCAGCTGACAGAGGCAGTTTGGAATCAGGGCAGCGGACGCCCTGTGAGCAGATGGTACCTGGGGTGGGAGTCGGGGTGAGGACGGGCCGGCGCTGCCACAAGCCTTGGAGCCTGCACCCCGCGGACGCAGTCACACGGAAATGGAATTTAAAAAAGAGAATCAGAGGGATTAAGACCAGAGTGCTGGAGTTTGAAAGAACTTTGTGGCCAAGACTGTAAAGGTGACTCCGCTGACTTGGGAACCTAAGGGACAGGGGCCCCCAAAGGATGGGCAGAGTTGTGGCGGGGGGGCAGGTGGGCAACTTGGCAAAGCAACCTGGGTGGGAAGCCAGTGAGGACATCAGAGCCCAGGGGCGAGCGCCAGGTGGACGACACAGTCTTTCCACAAGTGGCATCCAGGGCAGGCCTGCTGGGCGGGCAGGGAACACTCCAAAGCACTCTTCTTGGCAAGATGAACACAGGAATATTGACCAGAGAGACAAAACGCCAGGTGGACAAAGATGAAGAGAGCAGGGCTCCGACTGTTGTCATGGGTCCCTTACAGACAATGCCATTGAGGGAGCAGGGCTGGAGGAGGGAGGGAATGTCCCCTCCTGCAGGATGTGCCGGTTGCGGGCCCTGTGTCACCCATTCACACGGGGCATGCGGGCAGCCTCTGATGAGCTTCCTCCGGAAACCCTGCCGCGGAGGGGGGCCAGGGGCAGGGGGGCAGAGCACGCGGAGGGTGGCAACCACAGTGCCCCCGTGAGGACGGAGGATGCTTGCTGGGGGCCGCGGGGGGTCAGAGGGTGAGGCTGGCCGCCCAGGTTCCCTGCTGGCTCCGAGGCCCACCCGAGGTCCTACCTGGGCTCCCCCGCTGAGCTCCCCCCGGGCGCTTCTCCTGCTGCCTCAGGGCCTCCAGCCCCCCCAGGTCGGGCGGGTGGCAGTGGCCCCGCATCACCATCACCCGCTGGCCCTGGGTGATGGCCCGGCTGCGGCAGCCCATGCGGGCCTGGTCCCGGCACGTCCAGTACACCTTCTCCCCCACCGCCTTCTCCCGCCTGTACAGGAAGGACTCGTACACCAGGAAGCTGCCCCCCAGGGGGGTCCTCAAGAACTCAGGGCCTCCTGGGGAGAAAAAGGAGAGGTGGGTGGGGAGGGAAGTGGGAATTCCGGGTCTTGGGGCCCCCTCCTACCTCCCTGGGCCGGCTCTGGGTCGGCAGGTGAAGGACTCACCCAGGTCCTCGTCCTGGTCCTCAGCAGGGGATCCTGGCAGGGCTGGGGGCTGGGCCGGGAGGACTTTTGGGCGTTTTCTAGGCCGGGCTCTGCTGAGAGTCAGGGTCCCGGGCCCCCTGCGGCAGAGCAGGCTGTCCACGCCTTGAGGCAGCTGGTCCGCCTGGTCCCCAGGCCTACCAGGCCTGGCCTGCAGCGTCTCCATGGCCTTCTCCTGCTGCCGCCGGGCCTCTAGGCCCTCCATGTCAGGCGGGTGGCAGTGGCCCCGCATCACGGTTACCCGCTGGCCCTGGGTGATGGCCCGGCTGCGGCAGCTGTGTAGCGCATGGTCCCGGCAGGTCCAGTACACCTTGTCCCCCACGGCCTTCTCCCGCTTGTAGAGGAAGGACTGGTGCACCAGGAAGCTGCCCCCATAGCACGTCCTCAGGAATTCCAGGGGGGGCCGGAGTTCTCCTGGAGGAGGAATCTAGGGCAGTCACAGGAGGCAGGCCGATAGGAGGCCGAGGAGGCAGTGGGTGGGCAGCGCGTGCCCCTCTATGGGGACATTTCCTGTAGCTTCCCCCAAGTGGGACGTTCGTGGGCCCCTGTGCATTCCCACTGACCCCCACCCACTGACCCAGGCAGGAGGTGCAGTTCCTCTCCTGGAGGTCAGTGGGGAGGCCACAGCTCTTGGTGGGTAAACATCACATCCAAGCTCATGCACCCGGGAAGGACAAGCTGGCTTTGACTTCACAGCCTATGTGTTCAGTCACTCCTGGTCATTCTTTTTTTAGGGTTTGTTTGAAACTTTTATCTATTTTTGAATAACACATGGACACGCCATAAAATACAAATGGTGGCAAGAGACACGCAGTGAAAAACAAGTGTTTCCCTCCCCCTCTCCATCCAGTACCCAGCACAGCAGCTGCCCTAAGTCCTTAAACCCTCGAATCTGGGTCAGGAGGGAGCCAGCGCTTGGGACCGAGCCCACCTCCCACTTGCTGGTAATAAAAGCCTCAAAGAAGCCTGCAGCTTCCAGGCACTCAGCGCCACGATCACGGGACTGGCGCTGAGCACTTCCCGCGCATCACACATCTAATCTCTCTGGCATCTGAGCCATCCCTGACAAAGCTCCCGACACACCAGAGGTTCAGCACATGTTCTGACACCAGGTGGGGCTGGGCTGTGACTTGGCCCTGGCCCAAAGCTCTCCCCTAGGCTGACCTTCCAGAACCTCATGGGTTACTAGGACTACCTGGGCCTGTTAAAACTCAGGTTTCTGGACCTCACACCAGACCGTGCTAAATCAGAAAGTTCCAAAAGGACTTGGGACCCCTGGTTCTATCCCATGGGCTTAAGACATATTTATATCTTTTAAATATGATATCTTGACTTTGAGCACGTTAGAAAACCATGTGGGATCCCACATTTCCACCTGGGCACAGGAAAAGGCCCATGGGTACTCATTGGCCCCAGAGTGGAGCCCACGTGTGGGGCACTTACCAATCCCCAGTGTCGGGCGTTTCTTGGGGGGCAAGCTCAGCAGCGACAGGGCTCGTAGCCCTTCATCCTCCTCTGCAGCAGGCTTGCTTAGCACCAATGTGGGGGCAGGCTCTGGCTCCTCAGGGCACCGCCACGGGCCCACCCCTTCTAGCGGCTCCTCCACTCGGCCTCCTCCGGGACCCTCTGGGTCCCCCAAGCCTTCAGGCAGGGCTGGGCTAGGCGGCTTCTGTCTCTGGCGCCGGGCCTCCAGGCCTTCCTCATCAGGTGGGTGGCAATGACCCCGCATCACTGTGGCCCAGGGGCCTCGGGTGATGGCCCGGCCCCGGCAGCCCAGCTCACAGTGCTCACGGCACTTCCAGTACACCTTGTCCCCCACGGCCTTCTCCTGCTTGTATAGGAAGCACTCGAGCACCAGGAGGCGGCCCCCGAAAGGGGTCCTCAGGAACTCCAGGGGCTTGGGGGCTGCTGAGGGCAAGAGAGGGTGGGGTGAGCTGGGATGGAGCAAGGCTTCAGGTCCAGGGCACGGATGGGAGTGAGGGCAGATGCCCAGGGGTGATATCCTGAGATCATCACACCAGCCTAAGACGGCGTCCTGTGGTTAGCTCAGGTCAGGGATGGGACCCCAAGGCCGTCCCCCTAGAAAGGGGGCGCACAGAACCTCTGTCTGAGCATGTGAAGCCACAAAGAGGACTGGGCCAGGAGCAGCAGCCTGGAACTCACCTGTGTCTGGCTTGCTGCGATACTGCTCAGGGGCCTGGAGGGTTGGCTGGACTGCCCCCACTTGCTCCTCCACTGTCAGGATCTGGGGCATCCTGGCCAGGGTGTCAGGGCCAGACATCTCCAGGGACACAACACAGTGTCCTCCTTCAGGCTGGGAGTCCACCCCATCCACGTTCTCTGTGGAGACGGTCAGCAGGACCAGTTTAGAGAACTCTTCAGGCTTCGTGGGGGCTGTGGGAACGACATCTGTGCCCGGCTCAGGGGACTCCGGGGACGGCTCCTGCCCAGCCTTCACACTCTCACCCTTCTGCTCGCTGGGCTCTGGCAGGGGCATTCTGGGACGATGGCCTGTCCCGCAGGCCACGCTCAGGCCCTGGCAGAGGGATTTCTCTTCCTCCTCCTCCTCCTCCTCCCTGGTGGGGAACTTGGCGGTCCGGGGGCTCCGTCCTAAGGGGGGAAGCAAAATCCATCAGTGGAGGCAACTTCGGGCCTGGTGCTCAGGAAAATGGATGTAGGTGGAGGTTGAGGCAGATGCGGCTGCCTCAGGGCCCGGGGCTGACAGAACAGAGTGGGAGCACCCCGGGGGGTCGGGGCTTCTGTGGGGCTGCCCCTACCTCTCGCAGACCTGGCTAGGTCACCTCCCCGCCCACCCTGCACCTTCCTGTCTGTAAGATGTGCTGCCTGCAGGGCTCTCCAGGGGCTGCAGGACAGAGGCAGGGGGAACCCTGAGCTTCTAGAGAGAGAGGCCCCAGGGGCAGCCCTGGTAGCTCAGCGGTTTAGCGAAGGGCCTTCTGCCCAGGGCATGATCCTGGAGACCCAGGATTGAGTCCCACATTGGGCTCCCTGCATGGAGCCTGCTTCTCCCTATGCCTGTGCCTCTGCCTCTCTCTCTCTGTCTCTCATGAATAAATAAATTAAAAATCTTTAAAAAAGAACTTATATAACTTAATTAAAAAAAAAAAAAAAAGAGAGAGGCCCGGGAGTGCTGGAGCTGTGCATGGTGGGATGTGTCTTCACAGGTTTTCCCATTTAACCTGGCCCCGTGTTACAAAAGCCGATCATTCCTGGTGACCCAATTTATGGATGAGGACACCGAGGCACGCCAGGACGGCCAACAGCCCTGAAGTGCAGAGCTGGGCGGCTGCCCGAGGGGGATCCAGAGCCCGTCCCCGCACGGTACCTGGTGTGCCTCATCCAGGAGGACAGTAACTGACCTTCCCGGCCACCAAGAACCAGACAAGAGCACTCGGGACATGGGCTCAGCCACGGACCCCCCCAGAAGGCCCAGTGGCCTTCGTCCTGACAGTGTCACAGGGACACTGAGGCGGGCGCCTGCTGGCATGTTGCACACCACGAAGGGGAAGCGTGGCTCCAGGAGGCGGCACTCTCTGGCCTCACAACGAGACCTGTCCCCCATCCTGGGCCAGAGGCCCTGGACCACCCAGCACTCGGGAGGTGCCGGGGCCCCAGGAGGGCAGTGACCTTGTGCATGAGCCAGTGCTGGCGCTGCCTCAGCTGGGAGGCGATAGGGCCGCAGAGGTGTCCAGAGACTCCACAGTCACTCAGGGCTCCGTGGCTTCTGGCCTGGAGAAGCAAGCGGGACGTTATTATGCGGGTAGAGCTAGCCTGGAGACGGGCCCTGGGGTGTGGGGTGAACTTTTTTGCTTTCTTGCGGAACTGGGTGGTGGGTGAGTGGCTGGGTCTTTCCCAGCTCTCCTCAAGAGCCCAGAGGAAGACTGGGCCCTCCCTCACATTTCAGCTCTCCCTTTGTGAGGGGTCACCCTCATTTCCAAGTTTTGCTACTCCAATGCCCTCTAATCCCCTACTCCTGCTCCGAAGTTCCCTGGTTGGAGCCCACATTCAGCTCCCCAAGGTCTGGTCAGCCTAAGGGCAGGGCTGCAGCGTCCCTGTCAAGACACAGCCACGCCGAGGGGTGCCTCATCACCGCCCCCCCCCCCAGCAGTCCATGCCTGCCCATCCCAGGGCGCAGGGAGGCCCATCCCCGGGGGTCGGGGCGGGGTTGGGGTGCAGAGACTCCAGGAAATCTTCCCGTAACGGGACAGCTGATGGGGAGTCCCGGCTGGCCTGCCCTCCCGCATCAAGCCCTGTACGAGCCAAGCCCCTCTGCCCCCGCGAGCCCTGCGCATCTGCCCCCCAGCCAGAGGCCGTGCCCGCCTGGGCGGAGCCGCAGAGCCGCTTGGGCGGGAGGCCCCGCCCCCGGCCCGGCCCGCCCCCGCGGATTGGCCGCGGCGCTCGTCGCTCCGCCGGGAGCCCGCCCCTTGCTCGCGCGCCCGGGGCCCCACTTCCAGGTCCCCCGCACTGTCCAGTCCTGCAGACGCCCTCTGGGGTCCCCGCGGCCTCCGGCCGGGCGGGGACCTGCCTCCCTCCCGCAGGAGGCCTCGGACACGTCGGGCCGGCCGGAGCGAGGCCGAGGCGCTGCTGTCCACACAGCGCGCACTCCTCCAGGCCTGGGCCCACCCCGCGGGGCGCCGGGGGGTGGGGGACGCTGCGGGGACTCAGACACGCCATCGGCTTCGGCCTCCTCGGCGCGGAGGGCGTTGGCGGGACCAAGAGCCCCCACACTCCCAGGGAACCGGGCCTGAATCATGGGTACCTCGAGTCAGGAGACCGTGGAGTCTCAACTACAAGCCGTGCTTAAAAGGCTTCTAGGATCCACGCACCTCAAAGAATGGAAGGAGTTCCAGCGCGACAAACGAGCTATGGCCAACCCCCACCTGCAAAAAAGCGTGTGTCCAGCGGTGACCTAGAACGTGGATTGGACTGACCGTTACCATTCTCACCTATTAAAGGGCCCTGGGGGGATCCCTGGGTGGCGCAGTGGTTTGGCGCCTGTCTTTGGCCCGGGGCGCGATCCTGGAGACCCGGGATCGAATCCCACGTCGGGCTCCCGGTGCATGGAGCCTGCTTCTCCCTCTGCCTGTGTCTCTGCCTCTCTCTCTCTCTCTCTCTCTGTGACTGTCATAAATAAATAAAAATTAAAAAAAAATAAAATAAAGGGCCCTGGGATGCAGATTGTCCCGTGACCACAAATCCTCCCATAAAGTACGCAGGCCCCTTTGCAATGTGGTCTTGAATCTGGACTGGCTCCAGCCCAGATGGGTCACTCCGGGTGACTTGCTGAGTGTGGCAGAAGCAGGCTGTGGGGGTTTGGGAGTCCTCCCCCTCAGGCACCCGGCCCTGAGACTGCCCAGCTAGGAAGCTGTGGGAGAGGCCATACGTAGGGACGGAGGCACTGCCAGGCACCGAGGAAAATCATCCTGCACCGTCCAGTCCTGCAGGCCCCCCAGCTGAGGGTAGCTGCATGAAGGGGCCAGAAGAAACCAAGCCGGCCGGCGCCGATCCTGCGTGGTGGCCAGAGGAATGGCCTACCCATCTTCGAGAACACTGATCAGTGACAGACTGTTATTTTAAGCCAGTGATACCAGGGTCATTTATTACGCAGCAGTAACTGATATTCTTGGCTGAACTTGGTGGGTTTTGGCTTTTTGATGGATGGAATACTAAAGACTGTGAAACACACACAAAAGTGCCTTCACATGAACTTCATGTGCCATGCTACACAAATGTTAAATCCCTCAGTTGATCATGTTTAAAGGGCTGATAATTCAGTGAGAATAAAAATAGTAAGCACAAAGGATAGCAATGAGAATTATGTATTTAAAAAGTGTAATGCAAAATGTAAAATAAGCCAGTCACAAACACACACACACACACAAAAATAAATGCTCTATGATTCCACTTATGTGATGTCACTACGCTTGTTAAATTCACAGAGGCAGAGTCAGGTGGTGGTTGCAGGGTGGGGGTGGGGCGGGAGCTGTTCAGTGGGTGTGGAGTTTCAGTTTGGGATGATGATGAGGTTCTGGCAGAGGATGGTGGTGATGGTGGCACACCCGTGTGGCGTACCTCATGCCAGCGAGCTGTGCACTTAGAATGATTCAAGTTGTAAATTTCTGCGATATGTATTTTAACACACACACACACACACACACACCTGTAACAAACTACATGTAGTAATGTTCCATTTACCAAACACCATGGGTGAATGAGGTTCTTCAAAAAAGGCAGATTTCAAACTAAAGTTACATCTCCATGATTCAGACTGTAACAATTTTATCTGTTTCACAGTTTACTCCTTGAGGGTGGATCTCTTCATAAGCTGTTACCACTCTTCACTATCTGGATGAAGCGCATACATATTTTATCCTGATTTGGAAATAAAAGGATCTCCACCCAGATCCCTTGACACAGCCTCCACCCCCGCCTTGGGGCCCTTTCACCACCATCTGTATCCTGCTGTCTCTGGTCACCAAACCTCTCTGCCTCCTGTAGTTCTTTGCATTGGGACCACCAAGTTTCTTCAGTCTCCTGTGTCCTCAAACACCTAACAAAAGCCCCTCCTTCCCTCAACAGTTTGACTTTACAAGAACAGCCCATACCCCTTCCTTCTTACCCTGGCTGTCCGGGGCTGCCCGCCAGCTCTGCGGACACCACTCTCTTCTTCAGCCACAATCATCAGTCCATACATCACCCCTCTGAACCATCTGCTCTGGCCTGTGCGTGGTCTACCTGTGCAACGGAATATTATTCAGCCATAGCAAGAAATCAAGTTCTGGCATGTGCTACAATGTGGATGAACCTTGAGAACATCATGCTCAGCGAAAGAAGCCCGGCACAGGAGTGCCTGAGTGGCTCAGATGGTTAAGTGTTTGCCTTCTGCTCAGCTAATCCCTGGGACCTGGGATCCAGCCCCATTTTGGGCTCCTGGCTCAGCAGGAAGTCTGCTTCTCCCTCTCTCTCTGCTCCTCCCCTGCTTCTGCTCTTTCTTTCTTTCTCAAATGAATTAAAAAAAAAAAAAAAAAGCCAGACACAAAAGATACCATACTATATGACTCCATTTATATGACATGTTCAAAACATGCAAACCCATGGAGATGGAAAGTAGATGAGAGGTTGCATAGGACTGGGGAAAGGAAGATTAGGAAGTGTTGATGCTAAGGGGTGTGGGGCTTCTTTTGGGGTAATGAAAATGTAAAACTGTTTGTGGTAATGGTCGTAGTTGTAGGACTGTGAATACACTGGAAGCACTGAAGTCTACACTTGATAGGGGAGTTGGATGGTATGTAAATCATATCTCAATATAACTTAGGGAAAAAAATCCTCATGGGGACTCAGGTCCGCAGGGTCACTTGGATGAAAAATAGTTTTGTTTTGTTTTGTTTGTTTTAAGATTTTAAATGCTTTTAAAGTAATCTCTGGGATGCCTGGGTGGCTCAGCAGTTGAGCGTCTGCCTTCATCTCCAGTCTCCGGGCATGATCCTGGGGTCGAGTCCCACATCAGGCTCCTTGCAGGGAGCCTGCTTCTCCCTCTGCCTATGTCTCTGCCTCTCTTTCTTTGTCTCTCATGAATAAAATCTTAAAAAATAAATAAAGTAATCTCTACACCCAGTGTGGGGCTCAAACTTACAACCCTGAGATCAAGAATTGCACCCTCCACCAAAAACCAGTTTTCTACACTGCAAGCAAGCCTTTTGCTACTGCCCTTGGCTTCCGCATCATAGGAGTGGCATGATTACATATGAGGATATTGTGTAAGTTGTTATTATATTGTAAAAACTACATAAAAATATTTTTAAAATATTTATTCATGAGAGAGAGAGAGAGAGAGAGGCAGAGGGAGAAGCAGGCTCCCTCCAGGGAGCCTGATGTGGGACTCTTCCCCAGACCCGGGGTCACGCCCTGAAGCGAAGGCAGACGCTTAACCACTGAGACCCCCAGGCGTCCCTATAAAAATATATTTTATTTTTTAAATAGTTTATTTAGGGGATCCCTGGGTGGCGCAGCGGTTTGGCGCCTGCCTTTGGCCCAGGGCGCGATCCTGGAGACCCGGGATCGAATCCCACGTCGGGCTCCCGGTGCATGGAGCCTGCTTCTCCCTCTGCCTATGTCTCTGCCTCTCTCTCTCTCTCTCTCTGTGACTATCATAAATAAATAAAGTATTTATTATTTTTTTTAATGCACATGTCTTTATTTATGACAGTCACACAGATAGAGAGAGAGAGGCAGAGTTAGGCAGAGGGAGAAGCAGGCTCCATGCACCGGGAGCCCGACGTGGGATTCGATCCCGGGTCTCCAGGATCGCGCCCTGGGCCAAAGGCAGGCGCCAAACCGCTGCGCCACCCAGGGATCCCCCTAAAAATATATTTTAAATGTTAACCTATTACTAGCAACTTGCCCCTGATCCTGCCGCTCAGAGGCACAGCTCTTTCCACTCTTGGGTTAGAGCCGTCCGCGTACTTCGTGTTTTCTGCGGCGCACCCTGCGCTCACCGCGGTGTCTGCTACTTCACCCCCACTTCACCGAGCAGACGGGGGCGCCCGGGAGGGATCGCACCCCCAGGTGACGCAGGCCCAGAGCGGGCGCGCCCGACGACCGCAGAAGCAGCGCTCCAGGGCAGCCCAGGTGGCTCAGCGGTTTAGCGCCGCCTTCAGCCCAGGGCCTGATCCTGGAGACCCGGGATCAAGTCCCACGTCGGGCTCCCTGCATGGAGCCTGCTTCTCCCTCTGTGTCTCTGCCTCTCTCTCTCTCTAATAAATAAATAAAATCTTAAAAAAAAAAAAAGAAAAAAAAAAAAAGAAGCAGCGCTCCAGGAGGACACGAGGTGGCGATGTCGCTCCTCACGCTGATCGTGGGGGAAAATGACCTGCCCGACACAGACGCTTCCGAATCAAGAATTCGGGAGCTCTCCCACGCGGCAGAAATAACTAAAGGTTTCCAAAAATGCTTGCATTTACAGGACTTACCAGTTAGAAGGCAGACGCGATTAACAAGGTCTACAAATGCTATCTTTTCGAAGCTAAGGTTTTCCCAAGACACAAACCCCAGTCGGGCTCAGACCGCCCTCTGCCCCCCACCCCAGGCTCTGGTCAAGGCCTCCAGTTCCCGCCTGCTTTTTTTTTTTGCTCCTTACGTTTTCTTTTTTTTTTTTTTTTTTTTAAGATTTTATTTCTTTATTCATGAGAGACACAGAGAGGCAGAGACACAGGCAGAGGGAGAAGCAGGCTCCATGCAGGGAGCCTGACGTGGGACTGGATCCAGGGTCTCCAGGATCACGCCCTGGACTGAAGGCGGCGCTAAACCACTGCGCCACCGGGCTCCCCATCTTTTGTTCTTAAAATTGTGGACAATGTGCATGAACTCCCTTCCCTGTACGTGGAGAATCGGGAGACAAGCTGGAAAGACAAGCTGCTCTCCTCGCTTGGTCATTATTCCTTTAATTCTGTAACTCTCCTGTGACACGTCCCATGAGAAATTAAAGGGTAATATAAGCAACAGAACAGAGAAATGAACAAAAATCGAGGATATTAAAACTCCCCGTTGTGGGACCTGCATAGCCTCAGACCTTCCCTCCAAGATACTTACTAACTAGCAGGGGAAAGGCAGTAACTCGACGGTGGGGAAATCATGCGGACACGCCACTAGGACCAAGGTCGACCACCTACTAGTCATAAGACACATCGACACCATGACGTCCTTGATGTCCTTGATGTCCTTGATACGATGCATCTAGAAGGCCACCACACTGTCCATGATGATCCTGCCCCAAGCGCACACCCCCACTTTCGTCAGACAAGCCATGTGGTGGGATGGGTACAAAACAAGTAACCAGGACACTTCAAAACTGCTGAGGTCATTGAGGCCAAGGGCAGGCTGAGGACCTGTCACAGACTGGGCCAGTTTGGGGGCGGGGGGGGGGACACGGGGGACTGAGGAGACACAACAGCTAAATGCCACGTGGGATGTGGGACAGAAAAAGGACACTGGAGACAAGCTGAAGACACCAGAGTCAGGTCAACAATTTGGGTGAATGCAACTGCACCCGTGTTGATTTCCTGGCTTCGATGGCCATGCAGCATCACGTGAGATGCTGACAATCGGGGAGACCGGGTGATGGGAATTCTTCGCACTATCTCTGCCATTTTTTAAAAGTCTAAAATTAACTCAAAAATTTCTTGAAAACCCAGGTTTCAAACTTATAGACACAATGGGAGTTGACAGAGAAAGTAAGTGACGGAGACCTCCTGAGTGGCAGGGTGAGGGAGAGAGAGGGACAGGGGAATGCTCTCCTGTCCGAGCCTCAGCATCAGTCCTGGGACCTGGAACCTCACCCAAGAACAAAATTCCTCCAGCATCAGCCCACATCTCCAGTCCAGTAACCCAACAACCTCCTTGCCAAGTGTCACCTTCATCCCTACTCAACATCTGAGGCCTTAAGTGAGTGGCCCAGGATGGCACAGCCAGTGCAAGCCAGACTCAAACCCAGGCCCAGCTGGTGCAGAGCTGAAGGGGTGCCTCACTGTGCCCTGGGCAGCTTAGGCTCGAGGTAAGAAGGCCAGTTGCAGAGGAAGCTGGTGCTCAGAGCTGCAGTCAGGCCTTCAGAGTAAGTCATCAGCTGCACTGATGCGTCCCTACAAACCAGCTATTTTATGGTTTCTCATAGTGACTTCCAGCTGATCTGGCCAATGGGCAGCGCAGTGGGACCCTGGAGGGTGGAGCGAGGATGCCAGGATGCCGTTCCTAAAACTATCTGCTTGGCATGGCTCCACCACTGCTGTGGGCTCCAACTTTGCAGGGTCCCCCCCACCTGCTGCCCTGGAAGCTCCACCGGCTGTGGGTGTGGCATCCAGCCACTACTACTCTGGGTCACTCACCAGTTCCTGTTTGGCCTCTCAGCTCCTCCAGCACCAGGGACTGCAAGGAAATTCCCAGGTGAGATCTTAACAGTAGTTTCTGTTTTCCCAGCTGGATCCTGACTGACACGTCCTTCTAGAGTCTAAAGGACTGTGATTACAATATTTGATATTTACCAAATACAGCAATGTGCCTGGCACGACCCAAAGGGCTTTGCATGCACTAACCCATTTTATCTTCCAAATCACCTTGTCCATTAGAGTCCACTGTTCTTTCACATCATAGAGGAGAACTATGGCTTAATCTTAGGTTCCTGTGACCAAGAGCAGGCCAAGAAAGACGGAGTCAGCGTTGAAGATTCCGGTGTCTGCCTTCAGAGCCTAACCTCTTAAAATAAGTTAAAATGTTCTTTTCAAATTGAGGATTCTGACCACAGGTATCAATGAAGTGGGTTAAGATTGGTGGTTGTCAGTCGGGGTGATTTGGTTCCCAGGCAACATTTGGCGATGTCCAGAGACATTTTTGGTTGTTACACCTAGGAGGCAGGGCATGCTACTTGGGTAGGGGCCAAGGATGCTGCTCAACAACCGACAGTGCCCAGGACAGCTTCTCCTATACTCCATAAAGAAGCATCCGGTCTAAAATGCCCTACTTAAAATCAGTGTTTAAAAAATAAGACGGAGGGACACGTGGGTGGCTCAAAGGTTGAATGTCTGCCTTCAGCTCAGGACATGATACCCGGTACCAGGATCGAGTCCCGCATAGGGCTCCCTGCAAGGAGTCAGCTTCTCCCTCTGCCTGTGTCTCTGCCTCTCTCTGTCTCTCATGAATAAATAAATAAAATCTTAAAAAAAAATAAAAATCAGACAGAATTTTAAAAAATGAAAGAGAATAGAAAGGGTGAATCCATATAATTAGGTTAGGTAAAGTTTCCATGCAAGCTTTATTATAATTAGTTGTGTGTGGGGATCCCTGGGTGGCTCAGCGGTTTAGCACCTGCCTTTGGCCTAGGGCGCGATCCTGGAGTTCCGGGATCGAGTCCCACGTCGGGCTCCTGGCATGGAGCCTGCTTCTCCCTCTGCCTGTGTCTCTGCCTCTCCCTCTCTCTCTCTCTCTCTATCATGAATAAATAAATAAATCTTAAAAAAAATAATAATTAGTTGTGTGTGTAATTCTGGTCTTCATAAGAATTCCCCTGGGCCCTTGATAAGAATGCAAATGCTTGGATTTCCATCTAAAATTCTGACAGCAGGGATCCCTGGGTGGCGCAGCGGTTTGGCGCCTGCCTTTGGCCCAGGGTGCGATCCTGGAGACCCCAGATCGAATCCCACGTCGGGCTCCCGGTGCATGGAGCCTGCTTCTCCCTCTGCCTGTGTCTCTCTCTCTCTCTCTCTCTCTCTGTGACTATCATAAAAAAAAAAAAAATTAAAATTCTGACAGCGGATCTGGAGAGGGATTCAAGAATCTGGATTTTTAACAAGTACCCCATGAGGCTCTGGCACCATGGACTGTGCTTTGAGAAACACTTGAATAGAAGCCCTAGAGAAATAGGTAGTTTGCTGCTATTGTGACGAGCCCAAGAAGGATTTGAAGGGTTTTTTGCCTGTATGCCCGGCCCCACACTAAGTACTTTATATACATTGTCTCATTTAATCTGCCACATTGTATATGCTCCCTCATTATTGTGTTAAATAAAATCATTAACATCTGTTTATTTGATATCAGTAGGAGAGCAATGATTTCATCTTTTCTGAAATGATTCTGTGACAATTTAACAAGTGTCACATACTTCAGGCTTATTCCGGGGACCTCAAGAATACAGACAAGAATTTGCTCACATTCGTAAGTGGTATACGTGAAATCTGGTGGAGAGACCTTTTCGAGCATGGCTTCCGTACCTTGGAAGAGCAAATACCAGACTTCTAAAAATCCCATCTGAGATTCCTTATGAAGGCTTCCAGCAAAGCAAACTCAAGAAGGCCTTTATGGTGAATTAACATGCCCGTACCTATGTAAACAACCAGGCCGAATCTAATGAGACCAGTCTTAGTTTATGATCAGCGGTAGCTTTCTTTCTTTCTTTCTTTCTTTCTTTCTTTCTTTCTTTCTTTCTTTCTTTCTTTCTTTCTTTCTTTTTTTAGCGGTAGCTTTCATTGAGGTTATGAGACTGTAAAGAAACTTTATGCCTCAATGAAAATGATGCATTGTCTAGAACACATCCTTCCAGGTTACAGGGTTCTAGCCTTCGAGCTATTTGTTCAACTCTGCACAGTGCAGATGACTGAGAATGATGCAAAATTATTCTAGTCTGTAGGCAATAAACTCTCTCTCCATGTAAGTAAGTACATGTAAATAATTCTTCCCACTTCAGAAGAAGCCAGTTTTGCCTCCCTGTGCACATTTATTTCAATATCTATAGTCTTCTAGAATCTTCTTTGGCTTCTCTTGTTTGATCTTTGTGGTTCTTTGGTTAGTGAGTTAAGTGAAAGCTTCCATATGCGTTCATTTTACATCTGTATGAAACACCTTTATTTCCATTGTTTTCATCTAAGGTTATACTTTTCTAATTGCTTGCGTCATTGGTCCTATAATCTCTGGTTCCCGTCAGAATTTTTTATTTTTTTTTCAGAAATTTTTAAAATTACACATGAAATACCAATCTGCATTGCATGCAGTAAAAATGGGTATTATGCTATGAAACTTTCATTTGTTATACATATATCTATTTATCCTAGGTAAATTTAAATGCATTTTTTACTTTGGATGGTCATTGCTTTGAGGTCAACACTTGGGTCCTTGCATTTGTTTTGTTAATATTCAATTTTTACTCACTAAAGATTTATTGACTGGAGTGTTTTTAAATCGGGCAGATGTAAATGGAGAGTTTGAAAACCTCACAGTTTATGCTTTGTCACTCTCTTATCTTCTCTCCCCTCCCCCAGAATTGAGGCACAAAGGAATTTGAGTGCAATTCTCAAGCTGCCTGCTCTGATATTGCTGTCATGCTGGTGGTCACAAAGGGGTCACTGTAAACCTAACACCCAAGAGACACACAGTAATACAAACTGCTAGGTGCCTCTCAGGCAAGCCCTAAACAGCAAGGACCCTGAAAGGCCGAGCCTCAGTCAGCAGCTGATGGTGGATCAACAGAATTACCTTCACAAACAGAGAGGGAGAACCACCATCCCCATCTGCCAGTACCCAGGTCCTCACTGCTGGCTTGCTGGGTGCCACACCTGGGGCAAATTCCATCGATTCTCTGGATTGATTTTACCTGTGAAACAGGAAAAGTGGCAAATGAGACACTGTACGGGAAATGCTTCTGTAAACTGTAAATCATCACACAAGAACAGAGTTCTTTGTCCGACCCAGGGGTCCTGATGTTTGAAGAAGCTCCTGGCTGACCCCAATTGCTGCCCCCCTCCCCCACACACTAATGAACTATGAGGGGTCAGAGGTGTGCATTGACTGACTCATAAGCTCTCCTATGAACTATGCATGCTCTCTGTGTGTGCACACAGGTAGCACTCCTGGGAGGTGCTGAGGGTGTGACCCACTCTCCCACCAGCCATCATGAATCTCTGTTCTAAAGCAGGGCTTCTTAACCCCAGCACCATTGGCCTTTTGCGCTGGCTACTTCTTTATTGGGGGCGGGGGGCTCTCCTGGACAATGAAGGATGTTCAGCATATCCCTGGCCTCTGCCTGCTGCATCCCAGTAGCACGCCTCAGCCCAACGATCGACATTGCTATACGTCCCCTGGGAACTACCGCTCCTGAGAGATGCACACAGCACAAGAAGGAAGATTCTAGCTCCAGGTCCTCCTAGTCCCAAATCTTTCAATCACCAGATCAGAAACTTAACTTTTTTTTTTTTTTCTCAAGTAATCTCTATGCCCAACGTGGGGCTGGAACTCACAATCTGGGCATCAAGAGTCACATGCTTTACCCAGTGGGCCAGCCAGCGCCCCAGAATCTTCGCTATATTTTTACTCCTTCCTTACCAGGCCTCGTGTGTCCTCAAATCTCGTTCTCTGTACACCTGGTCATACCACCTTCCATTGCATTCTCACTGAACATCACTTCAGGGCTTCGATCCCCACCCATTCAAAGGTCTTCCCATCCAGCATCCATCCAGCCCAGCCAATTCTCCCTTCGCAGTGGACACCGCTTAATCTTTCTAAAGCTGAACTTTAATTATTTCTCTCTCCAGCAAAAATCGTCTCCTTCTCCATTATCAACACTCCACAATCCAGCCCCAACCTCACACACTCTTCTCTTCTCCAAGTCCGACTAGCTTTTGGAAGAAGAGCAAGATAAACCCGATGGCATCAAATTAGAAAATTCAAATCAAGTCCTCAAAGTGATTCTGGCCCTGAGAAGCAGAAACGTTAAAATCTTAATAATATACCTTTTCTTTGGAATTGGAGGACACCCGTGATTATCTGATTATTGGAACTCAGTATCCCCCAAAGGCAGAGAAAGTGTGATGCTTGTTAAAAGCAAGGGTTTCAAAGTGTGGTCAGAACCAATAGGTCCTGAAATCAATTTCGTCGTTAGCAAGAGTCATTTGGGAAGCAAAGAACAGAATGGGATTAGAACAAAGGTAGAGCGGATCCGGCTGCATCGTGAGAGGCTGGGGTCATGTCTCCCTGGGAACTTATCTTTCAGGATCTACACATGCAGGCACAAGTTATGCACGTAGGGCATATTGTTAGTGTAGGTTGAGGCAAAAAAGTTTGAAAGTCACAACAGGCGATCTGCGTAACCAGAAGCGGGAGGACGGGTCTAATAGGCCAAAGTGCAAGGTCACTGGGACCTACAGAACCGCACGGATGGGACGGAGCTGGGTGGGCGCGGCGCGGGGCGGCGCCGGGGGCGGGGGCGGCGGGGAGCGGGCCGGGAGGGGGCGGGGAGGGGGCGGCGACCCTGGGGCTCCCGCTGCGGGGGTTGCCGGGTTGCGGCGAAGGAAGCGCGCCTGCGGTGGAGGACGAGGAGGCGGCCGGAGCGCCGGGACGCTGACCCGGGTGACACCCCCCTCCGGCCTCAGCAGTTCTCGGGGCCGCGGCCACGCCGTGGGACCCGGGACCCCCCCGCCCGCTGGGGCCCGTGCTCACCGGGCACCGGCCGGGCGGCGGCGGCAGCGGAGCCCTCCCTCTCCGGAGACCGAGCCGCGGCGGGTCCTCGGGCCTCGGCCGCCGCGGCCACAGTGTGCACCTCGCGGCCAGGCCCCTGCGGCCGCCGCAAGCCTAGCGCCCGCTCCCCGCCCCCACTGCCCTCCGGCCGGCCGGGAGCGCGCCACCCAGCTGCGGAGCCCGCCTCTCGGAACGCCGGAGCGGCTCGCAGCGAGCATGCGCAGCAGGACCGCGGGGCGGCCCCCGTTCCTCGGGCGAACTCCGTTTCTCCGGCTCTTCCGGGAGCGGCGTCGAGCAGGCGGCCTGGCCAATCGGCGTGGGAGGGAGAGGGCAGGGGCGGGCGAAGGGGGCGGGGCGAGCGCGGGATTGGGCGGCGGCGGGCGGGGGCGGGCCCCCGAGACTAGTGAGTCGGGGGCTTAACTGAGGCCGCCCCCGCCCAGCAGGCCTCGCCCGGGGCTCGGCTCGGTGCCCGCGGGGCGGGACGCGTGTTGAAATAGCGCTTGAGACCCGGCGTGTTCCTTAGCCAGCAGGAGGACATTTCCTATACACCTTCTTAAAACCTTCAGATGACCCCACCCCAGAGCCGGGCCAATTTGAGGTTCAAAACACAGGGAATAATCATAGCGGATTATAACTTCGAGTAAAATAAGAACCCACCAGCTGATACTGATCTAAATAAGCAGGAGCGCCTGGGTGGCTCAGTGGGTTAGGTATTTGATTCTTGGTTTTGGATGAGGTCATGACTTTGGGGTGCTGGGATTCAGCCCCTAATGGGGGTCTTTGCTGGGGTTAGAGTCTTCCTGAGATTCTCCCTCTCCCTCTGCCCTTCCTGCACCCCCACCCCGTTTAAGTACTCTCTTTTTCTTAAAAAAAAAGTGGGGAGAAGGGAAAGCTGTTTCTCACCAAAGAAGGCCAACTAAGAAGCGCAGAAGGGATGATGCAGAAAATCAGCATTTGTCAACCATCCTGCTTAATAGCCTATGTGGGCAAAAATCATCGATGGCCACTAAAACTGGAGGGTGAAAGCTTAGTAAGGAAATGGTATTTACATAATCCCAAGGATACTCTTCAAAAAATATTTATTTATTTATTTATTCATGAGAGACACACAGAGAGGCAGAGACACAGGCAGAGGGAGAAGCAGGCTCCATGCAGGGAGGCTGATGTGGGACTCGATCCCGGGACCCCAGGATCTCACCCTGAGCTGAAATCAGAGGCTCAACCACTGAGCCACCCAGGAGTCCCCAAAGAAGGGGCGAGTGTGAATTTTACAGTAGAAGAATGGTTCTCAAAGTGTAGTCTGGGGTTCCTGGAGGTCCCTATGGAATATTGCAAAGGCGATGTGACATGCTGTTGTAACAGGCTGATGGCCAAAGCACCCATGAGAACCTCTAGTATTTCTGTAGGCTTCCATTAAGATTTGCAAAAATGTAAAACAGTTCCTGCTCTTCTCACCTAATTTCTTTGTTTTGAAAAATATAGCGATTTCTCATAAAAATATGTTATTATGTTAACTCATAAAGGGTTTATTATTCACTTTTGAGAACAGCTTCATTGAGATATAATTCACGGACTATGTAATTCACCGGTTCAAAGTGTACAATTCAGGGGGATCCCTGGGTGGCGCAGCGGTTTGGCGCCTGCCTTTGGCCCAGGGCGCGATCCTGGAGACCCCAGATCGAATCCCACGTCGGGCTCCCGGTGCATGGAGCCTGCTTCTCCCTCTGCCTGTGTCTCTGCCTCTCTCTCTCTCTGTATGACTATCGTAAATAAAATTAAAAAATTTTAAAAAAACAAAGTGTACAATTCAGTGTTTTTTAGTATTTTCATAAAGGTGCGCAAACATCACCACAATCCGTTTTAGAGCATTTTCTTTACTCCAGAAAGAAACTGTGGCCATTGCTGTGAAATCCCTCATCCCCCAATCCTAGGCAATGGTTCATCTGCTCTCTGTATAGATGTGCCTATTTTAGACATTCATATAAATGGAGTCATACAATATGTGGTGTTTTATGTCTGGCTTATTTCACCTAGCCTCATGTTTTCAAAGTTCATCCATGCTGCAGCCTGTAGCAAGACATCATTTTTTTTTTATGGCAAATAACATTGCATGGTATATATAGACTTATATAGACTATGGTTTGTGTGCCCATTAATCTGTCGTTGGGCATTTGGGTTGTTTCCAGTTTTGGGCTACTATGACTCATGCTGCTATGAGCACTTATGTCCAGATTTCTGTGTGTACATGTTTTCAATTCTTTTTTCTTAGATATTTTATTTATTTATTTGAGAGAGAGAAAGAGAGCGTGCAAGAGCAGGGAGAGGGAGAAGCACGCTCCCCGTGAACAGGGAGCCCAATGTAGGGCTCAGCCCCATGATGCTAGGATCATGACCTGAGCCGAAGGCAGATGCCCAACCGACCGAGTCACCCAGGTGCCCCTGTGTTTTCAATTCTTTGGGATGTGCACTTAGGAGTAGAATTGCTGGGTCATATGGTAACCCTATGTTTAACCATTTGAGGAATTGCTAGACCGTTTTCTTTTTTTTTTTTAAGATTTTATTTATTTATTCATAGAGACACACACAGACAGAGGCAGAGACACAGGCAGAGGGAGAAGCAGGCATCATACAGAGAGCCTGACATGGGACTTGATCCAGGGCCCCCAGGATCACGCCCGGGGCTGCAGGCGGCGCTAAATGGCTGCGCCACCAGGGCTGCCCGCTAGACCGTTTTCTACAGGGTGTTCACCATTTCGCATTTCCACCAGCAGCATATGAGGGTTTCAATTTCTCCACATCTTGTCAACACTTGTTATCATCTGAGTGTAGCCAAGCTGGTAGATATGAAATGGTATCTCATTGTGGTTTTGATTTGCATTTTTTTCTGATATTAAGATGTTGACCCTTTTCTCATGTGCTTCTTTGTCATTTGTATATCTTCTTTGGAGAAATGTCTATTCAGATCCTTTGCCAATTTATTTTATTTTTTTAGATTCTATTTATTTTTAGAGAGA